ATATATATATACAGAATACTAGTTACTGTTGGATTGACTAGGATGTATACGTGTATCGGATCTCTGCTTGGACTGTAGTAGAGTAGAACTTGTTTGTGGGCCTGACCCACCATTATTTTTCAGGTGCTCGTCAGGAGTAGAGGTTGTTCGTGCTGAGCGAGGATCAGTTTACTTCATTCTTTCGATGCTACATAGGAGTTCCTTTATGATTCAGTTTCCTGATTTAGACAGTTATTGCTGTCATTTGTTTAGTTTGGATTTTCTAGGGGTCCACACAGTATGGATTCCCGAGTCGTATTTTGGAGGATCAGTTGTATCAGAAGAGTTTATTAATTAATGAAAATATTTTCTGAGGTTTATTATTAAATAATCATTTTAGTTTCTTGTCAGCACTTTATTTATTCTTCTTTATTCTTTTGTACTCTGTGTTCGTTTATTATCAATTTGTTTTGATATTCTCGGGTATTCGGGCGTGGGCCTAGCCAACCCGCATTCGAAAATCCGGGGGTATCACACCGTGAGAACCGGAATCGGTTTTTACGGTTCTCACGGTTCCTGTTCCGAATTTAGGAACCGTGGACATACGGTTCCGGTTCCGGTTCCGGTTCCAGTCCGTGGGAACCGGTAAGAACCGGAACCATATATATATATATGTATTATATATTTAATTTTATGCTAAAAAAGAAGTAAAAAAAAAAAAAAAAAGTGATAAACTGGGCTGGGCTGGGATGAGTCGCTGGACCTTAGACACGTTAAAAAAAAACCTATTGTTTTTAGCTTTTTTTGCCCTAAATCTCTCACTATCTCAGTCCTCGCCTCCTCTCAAAAATCTCTCATCTCAACAGACGAAGTGACGACTGACGAACCCTAAGCTAACCCTCGCCTGAGTCGCCTCCTCTCATCTCCTCAGTCCTCATCGCCCTCGTCTCCTCTCAAGTCTCATCTGAAGCTTCCTCGTCGATTTAGTCCTCATCGCCCTCGCCGTCTCAGATTTCATCATTAATTGTCTCCGATCTCATATTACTCGGTAAGTCCTTGATCGATCTATCACTCCCATCTCAGATTTCTCATCAGTCATTCATTATTTGTTTCATCCTCACTCCCATCTCAGATTTCTCATCAGTCAAGCCTGTGAAGGTAATTTTTTTTTATTTTTTTCTTTTTCCTTTTCCTTTTCCTGAGTGTGTGAATATTTGATGGAAATCGCATAACCTTCATCATGGAAATTAATCATCAACAGAAACAAGCTAGTATTAGTATTAATTTCCTTTAATGAATCTCGATCTAACTTATTGTGTAGTGTGTATATAACGAGATCTATATATATATATATAGAGTTGAACTGACTTGAGTTTTGTACAGTGGATTTCTGATTTGCTCCATTCCATATTATATTTTGTGTTTAAATATACAAATATTATGCGCTTTAATTTTTTCTTTTCTAGACTATAAGTGGACTTTGGTGATCATTATGGAAAAAAAAAAAAAAAAAAAAAAGAATATTTCATTCCAATATCAGGTTCTCTATCTATTGGAATTGTTGGATAAAAGGTTCATTAAACCAAATTTGTGGAATGCTTAATTTGTGGACAAGATTGTTTGCGTTCTCCATCGATCCCAATTCAAGTGGAAGAAACTATGGCTGAAATTGAAGCAATTGAATCTGGTACGATTCATTTTATATAAAATTTAGTTTTAAAGTATTGAAATTATTATAAAAGTTGTGTAACTTGTGTTTTTTTGGCTTTTGTAGATGTGGCTATTGGGAGTCAAATAGTCACTTAGCAGTTTAGAGTTTGAACTTCTAAAGTTAAAAGCCAGCACTCAGCAGCAGGCCAACGCTCAGCGGCATAATTCTTTTTTTTCTGTTTATGTGGAAGTGCACTAATAGTCTATTTTTGTAATTCAGTATTTTACTTTTGTAATTTAGTATTTAGAATTTCAAACTATCAGTTTTTTTTTTTATTTTGAAAGGTTATTCAGATTTCAATATGGAATGTAATATTTATATTTTTGACATTGTATTCTATTAAGTAATGGAAGTTATGGATCACTAAGTTGCAACTTACAACATTGCAAAAAAAAAAAAGAAAAAAACCAAACAGTTAACGGTTCCTATGGAATGGAAGTTATGGATCACTAAGTTGCAACTTACAACATTGCAAAAAAAAAAAAAGAAAAAAACCAAACAGTTAACGGTTCCTATGGAACCGAACCGGTTCGGTTCCATATTCTACGGTTCCGGTTCCGGTTCCGTTTTTAAGGTACCGTTATGAACGGTTCCAGTTCCGACCGGAACCGTGAGAACCGGAACCGTGTGCACCCCTAGACTTAGCCCCGTATGTGTCTATATATATATATATATATATATATATATATATATATATATGTAATTTATTAGTATAAAATCATATTAACTTACTTTTATTTAAAAATTATTCTTCTGGTCTTTCTAAATGTACAATTGTTAATTAAAATTTTGAATTCAAGTTTATATATAGACTAGTAAAACAGCACCGTGAATAAAAGGTAAATTTATAACTAAGTCAAATTATTTATAATAATTAATTAGTTGCTTTGATTTTTTTATTTTTTTCAATTAGGTCTTTAATTAAAAGAGGCTTATTAAGTTAATATAAAAAAAATTAGTTATTTAGTTCAAACATAATCTTAATAGTATATTAGTAAGAGCTGATAGAGAAGGTAATACAATGGAAAAAGAATTTTATATTATTATTATAAATACATTATAAATAAAAATAAATAAAACAATAATATTGATATATAAAGTAAGATCAATAAAATTTAATTTAAACTATATTCCCAATTAAGTATCTTATAAAATGTATAAAATTAATCAACAGGCCAGTGGCCTAGCGGTATCAGTCTCTTACCTCCCAAAGGGAGGTCAGGGGTTCAAGTCTCAGAAGAGACAAGTGTGTGTGAGTACCAACTAGGAAAAAAATAAGATGTACAAAATTATTTAATAGTTGTGTATATAATTATATCTATGTTGGTGAATTAGAAGAGTTTCTTTCTTTTTGTAAAAATAATAGAAACTTTACACACATTTTATGGTAGCATACTGTCATTTATATATAAATATTTATTTTTAGATTAAACTAAATAATACACACATATATAACACACTATATATATATATATACATATAAATGCATGACGGTCATAGTTATTAAAAGCCCAAGGCACACCGAGGCGCTAGAGGTCTCTTAGAGCCTAGGCGCGAGGCGCACGGCGAGGTGCGAGCCTGAGTGATGTGAGGCGCACAAGTAAAATTTTAAAACAATAATTCTTAGCAAAAATAACACAATTAAACAATGAGCATCCAATAATAAAAACACTAAATTAGTCTAAATATATCACAATTAAACCAATAAAGCAACCAGTAAAATAGAACAATTAAACTAATAAAGCTATTTATTCATAAGAAAGATTCAATAGGAGCAAAACATAAGCCAATTAATCATATATTATAAATTTATACTTGATATCTTAAGCAAAAGCTATCATTTGACTCCAAAACAGATTCATCAAAAGATACTTAGTAGCCTACCAAATCTATAAAGTATCATAGTCAATACTTAACTTAGTAGCCTACCATATCTATAAACCAAGCAACAAAATATTAGTTTTAGTTTTGAGTTTTGACAAGGACTCCTAAAACCAAAGTTACCAAACAATGTTAAGGGACCTAAATATCATCCTCTTCACCAAACAACATAGTTTCATTATCATCCCCATCAAAAGATTTGTAACCCTCAGCATCTTCTTCCTCTTCTGTCTCCTCAGAGTTTGCCTCGTCATCATCTATGATTCGCAGTGAAGACGAGCATGAAGGTGTTGTCTTTTTTGTTGCCCTTGGAGCTGATCTTGATCTTAAATTATGGCTAGAATCTCCAACCCCGGTAGCTCTAGCAACTGCACCCCATGTCAAAGAGTTATCTTCAAACACCAACTCATTTTCAGCATCTACATCTTCATCCATTACTCCAACCAACCACTCATTGCTATCATCTATATCATTTAAAAGGATGGGATCGATCCTATCACGCATGTTATATCGTCGTTTTAGTGCTCTATTATACTTGATGAAAACCAAATCATTCAATCGACATTGAGTTAGCCGATTCTTCTTCTTGCTATGAAGCTGCATTAATTCATATAATTAATAACTAATAAGTATAAGTGTATAACTGTTTATAATCTAATTTTTTTATCATTGAATTACTAATACTACAAACTTACATGTTCAAATACAATCCAATTTCGTCCACACCCAGATGCGCTACATGTGAGGCTAAGCACTTTAATGGCAAACTTTTGCAAATTAGGAGTTGTAGAACCATATGCGGACCACTAATCGGCTGTTATTTACATATTATTAGTAAAAAATTAACAAAATTAAAATTCAAATATACTAAAAAATGATTAATTGACTTGTTTACCTGGTGTCCTTGACTTTCTTTGTCTAATAGCAATCGATGAGCCAAATAGACCATCAGCTTTTATATATCTACTCGACTCTAAAGAAATTTTATCTTGCACTTTAGTGGTTGGAACCAATCTTTCTATGCATTGATATAAACCATCCATCACCTCTTCATCTTGCTCAATATTTGGATTGCTATAAAAATATTCTGGGTTCAAGAAATGCCCAGCTGCATGCAAGGGGCGATGGAGTTGGATATTCCACCTAGTATCAATGATCTTAAAGATGTCCTTATACTTCTCCTCATTCTCACCAAAAGCTTTAGCTATCGCTTCTTTAGCCCTTTCCATAGCCTCATAAATATATCACATTGGAGGCCTTCTCTCACCATCAACCAACTTAAGTACACGAACAAGAGGACTTGCTACTTTGAGAGAGTACACAATGCTTGTCCAAAATGTAGGCATCAACACAATCTGTGCTACATTTTTCCCTTCTATCTCTTTCGCCCATTTACTGGAGATCCATTCTTGTGAAGTGAACATCTTCCTCAAGCAATCCTTTTGATGATGGATGCTTGATAACGTGATAAATGAAGTGGCAAATCGAGTCGTTGCAAGTCTAAGCAACTCTTTATGTCCAGTATAACGCCCATCATGTTCAACAAACCCGAACGGTTATAAATATAACCATTTAACATTATAACTCTCTTTATGGTCATCATTATCTTTGGGATCTTAGCAATATCCTCCAACATCAAGTCCACACAATGTGCAGCACAAGGTGACCAATACAAATGTCGATGCCTTCCCTCCAATATTCTCCCTATTGTAAAGAAAGAAAATATGGATTAATAGAAGACTAGAAGTAATAGACCTAAAATTTTCACATCAAGTACATATTGAAATTTATACCTGCCACAACATTAGAAGAGGCACTATCAGTGACTACTTGAATCACATTTGATGTTCCAATTTGCTACACGAACTTGTTAAGCAAGTCAAACGTTTTTTCACCGGTCTTTGAATAAGAGGAAGCATCAACAGATTGAATGAACAGTGTCCCTTTAGGACAATTCACTAGAAAATTAATCAAACACCTGTGTCTTTTATCCTCCCATCCATCTGCCATAATTGTGCATCCGTATCTTGCCCATTCCTTTCTATGATCCCGCATTAAATTGTCTGTATGCTCCAGTTATTTCTTGAGGAGGGGAACTCTCACCTCATGATAAGAAGGAGGTTTCATTCCTAGACCATGTTGGCCAATAGCTTCAACAACTGGTGCAAAACTATCATAATTAAGGGCATTGAATGATATCCTAGCATCATATATCCATCTTGCAAACCGTTGACATGCTCAGTTTCTAAGTTCTTTCTTGCAAGCATTATCAATTGTTGTTTGCTTACCCTTGTCATTTTTTTTTATTTTGCACAACTACTTCCGGAGGAGGGGTGAAGTACAAATCAATAGGACCTTTCTGCTTTTTCTTTTTTGATTGAATATTATTGCTTCCAGTTCCACTTGCTACTCTTTTACCCTTAACATCAATTATTGTTCCATCATCCTCATCTTGATCATCCATGTCATCAAAATCAGGCAACAAATTTGTGTGTTCCTTTTCTTCTTTCTTCTTGCTCATGTATTCTCTAATATCTTCTTTCACATGTTCAGGGCACTTTTTACATGCTTGTACGTTTCTATATCCCCCTACAATGTGTTGCTTAGCCCTATAAATACCTCATTTCATAATTTTTTCACAAAAATTACATGTTGTTGCATTCCTATCTTGTGGGTTTTGCAGGTGACAGTAATTCTAACCTGGATCCTTTGACATTTTTTCCTATCTATTTACAATGAGAAATAGAATGGAGTCAATGGACCAAGTTAAATTTAGCAAACAAGCATTCAGTAAACAAGCATTCAAGCAATTCAGCAATCAGGCACAAACATTCAAAATTTAAATAATGTAACAAATTCTAGCAAACAGAGCATGTATTTAGTCCACGATAGCAGAGCAGCATTTTAGGCTAGAGAGAAGACTCAGAAAAGAAGGGGGAAAAAAAAATACAGAGGCCCTACATGAAGAAAAACAGAGACCCAGAAAAAAATAAAAAAAGCCAAATGAGAGAGAGAAGAGGAGATGAGAGGAGAAGAGAAGAGAAGATGAGGAAAAAAAACAGAGACCAACAAAGAAGGAAATAAAAAATAGAGACCCACAAAGAAGGAAATAAAAAAAAAAAAAAAACCGAGAAAAAAGAAAAAATGGAGAACCAGAAAAAAAAAAAAAAAAAAAAAAAAAAAAAAAAAAAGAGAAGCCAAATGAGAGAGAGAGAAGAGGAGGAGGGGAAAAAAAAATAAAGCCTGAAGAAAAAAAAAAAAGAAAAACAGAGACCCATAAAGAAGGGAAAAAAAAAAAAAAAAAATGAGAAAGAGAAAAAATGAAGAACTAGGGAGGAAAAAAAAAAAAAAAAAAAAAAAACGAGAAAGAGAAAAAATGAAGAACCGGGAAAAAAAAAAAAAAAACCAGATGAGAGAGAGAAGAGGAGGAGGGAAAAAAAAAAAAAAATAGAGCCGAAAGAAAAAAAGAAAAAGAAAAACAGAGACCCATAAAGAAGGGAAAAAAAAAAAAAAAAAAAAAAAAAACAACAGATGAGAGAGAGAAGAGGGGGAAAAAAAACTTAAATGAAATTACTACTAACCTGGAAAGTGGTTTCGTTGGAAGGAAGGAGGCAAGACCAGATTCTTCAACTTTTCTTCTCTTCTTTTCTCTGTCGGAAGGAAGAAGGCAAGCCAGTTTCTTCAACTTTTTTTCCCTTCTTTTCTCTTTTCTTCTCTTTTCTTTTTTTCTTTCATTCTCTCTCCTCTTTCCTACTTTTGAGTTTTGACTTTCCCACTTTTGACTTGGGTTAGTGGGCATTCCACGTTTCTTCTGCAGCCAGCTTGATTTGAGATAACAAAATTCTTTATTTTTTACTTTTTAAGTTTCCAAAGCAATATATATATATATATATATATATATATATATATACTAAATATAATAGTATAAATAACAAACAATCAAACAAAGATCATATATGTTGCATAATACATGAGGCGCGCTCCAAGGCGCAGCCCAGGCGCGCGCCTAGTGGAGGTCGCTGCGCCTGGGCTATTGTGAGGCGCCATTGTTGCGCCTGTAGGCGCCTTGCGCCTAGGCGCGCGCCGCGCGCCTAGGCGCGCTTTTGACAACCATGATGACGGTATGTATAGATATAACGAAAAGACAAACCTGATCGGTCTCTTTGCCAAAAAAACATTGAGCAATTAAGATTACCGAAACCAAATACACATCCATTGCATACATCCATTGCATTGCCTCTTCCACATATATCTCCTCTCCATGTCAAAATCAATATATAAACCTACAAATCAATGACATACTGAAATTCAGAACTAAATGAATTGTAACAAGAAGTAACAAAAAATGAAAAATTATTATAAAAGAAAAAAAAAAAAAAAAAAAGGCCAATTAATTGGAATCAATTAATGCTGCGGTTGGTGTGCTAGAATGGAATGCCTATTCCAACCATTCCTTTGTATGGTAAGCAATTTTAAGTGGGAATGGCCATTCCATATAAATGAAAATCCATTCCACAACTAAACCTATGGAGTGCCATTCCATTACTGAGTAATTTTTCTTTTAAAAAAAATCAACTTCCCAAAAAACCCTCATGTTCCATGTCCAAAAACCACCACCACCATCGCTGCCACCAACACCACCACTATCCACAACCATTTCTTTTAAAAAATTATAGAAGAATGTTATTTTCTAAATTTAATTTATTTATTAATAAGAGTGGTATTTTGGAGAATTCAAATTTAAATTCATTTTACTTTAAATTTTAAATTAGTCCTAACAAACGCTAGAATGATTAGTATCATTCCATTCCAACACATTTCATATTTGTAACCAAATAATAGAATGAGAATGACCAGTGTTGTTAAAAGCGCGCCTAGGCATAGGCTCGAGGCTCAGGTTTAGCGCCTATTGTCATCCTAGGCTCATTGATGTTTACTAGGTGTGCGCCTCGGTTGCGCCTCGTCCTGTTTGTGAGGTGCGCCTAGGCGCACCTCACTGATAGTTGTTTAAAAAAATATGATTGTTCTATTTCTTAAGCCAAAAAGGGTACTTTTGGCAACTTAATAAACAAAAAAGAAAGCTCAATCATACGATATAAGGAACTTTTGTTCAAAAGAATAAAAAAATAAGAAAGCCCAAGAGTAAAGTGTTAACCGAACAACGTTGGAATGAGATTGTGAGATGAAGACGAAGCCCCAGTTGCTAAGATGAACAACGAAGCCACGTCAATTCTTTCTTTTCTTTTCTTTTATTTTTTCTTTCTTCTCCTCTAGATCTCTCGTCTTTTCTTTCTCTCTCTTCATCTAGTTCTCTCATCTTTTCTTTTTGCTCTGTTTTTTCTTTTCTTGTTTTCTTGTTAACATATTTATTTCTTTTTATACTTTGTTTTGCCATTCAAAAAACACATTTTGCTTTGCCTTTCAAGAAAACAAATTTGTGCTCTGTTTTATGGTTATTGGATGCTTGTATAGTTGATGGATTTACTTTTTTATATTTGATATTAATTTTTAGAATATTGATATGACTTATAAGATATGAATGTTATTATGGTAGTTTAAATTTTCAATTGTGCCCCTCATTTCACTCAGGCGCGCGCCTCGTGCCTAGGCTCCAAAAGACCTCAAGCACCTTGGTGCGCCTTGGGCCTTTAATAGCTATGAGAATGACCATTCCATTCCATTTCCATTCTCATTCCATTCCCACTCGCATTCCATTCCATTCCATTCATGCACACCAAACGCAATCACTTATACATAAATAATGCTAATAAACAAGAAGGAAGAAAAAATACAAACTGTGATATTGTGGCCAGAATTTAGTGTCGGGTAGCGCGACCCACTTATGACCCGATGACCTGTTGGATGAGCTTTGTGTGGTTTTTTTGCTCATAGGTACTGGACCCTAATTAGTCTCTTATAGCCCGATATATAAGGCCGCTTAGTGTTTGGAGTACGGTGGAAAGAAACTCTGAAATTCGTTCAGAAACAGAGTGGAGGGCTGAAAACTTGTAATCTCCGATTTTATACATCGTGAAAACTTTCACTGAATCCCAATCGTGGACGTAGGCTGTTGCCGAACCACGTATAAATCTTTGTATGGTGTGTTTATTTTTCTGTTGTGATTCTTGGTTCAACGGGTTTGTTGCGTTTGTCGTGTGATTGCTTTGTAGGCTTTTATTGGATCCTCATTGTTCACGTATTTCCGCTGCCCTAACAAATTGGTATCAGAGCCAAAGGAGATCCAGAAAACACAAGAAGTCTCAACATGTGCTGCAACAGACTTCAGTTGCAAGTGAAGTCAATCGGCTTGATTACATGACATGGAGCTCGAGTAGTCGAGGTGGAGCCTTGGAGGTTTGACTGATCGAGCAACATATAACGTGGACAATCGGAGTTTTACAGGAGTATCGTCAAGATTAAAGCTGCAAAAGAATTATCATGATCAATGCCATAGGAAGCGATGATTGGCCGGATGAAATTTGAGCCAAGGTGGATATTGTTGGGATTTGTGTTTCAAATTCCTACTCTAATTATGTTTCTATTTTAGAATTGTATTCTATTTGATAATTTCTTGTTTGGCAAGTCTTGACCTCTAAGAAATTGTAATCCTTGTCCAACAAGGAATTGGGTTTGGAACTCTATAAATAGATACATAGACTTTGGGTTGAGACTTATGAAAATGAGAAAGATGTAATCTCGTGAGAGAGTTGATGGGTAGAGGTAGTTTATGGGTTAATACAGTAGGAAAAATACTGGTGACACAATAGTGAGGATATAAGCACGATATAAGCTCATGGAGTAGTGGTGTTGGTACTCTATTGTCGTAATATCTCTACGAATCATAGTAGAATATATTCTTATCCATGGACATAAGCCGATTTTAGCTGAACCATGTATATCTTGTGTTTGTTTGTGATTGCTTTATTGGCTTTCTTTGAATCTTTATTATTCGTGCACTTCCGCTGTCTCCAACAAATTGGTATTAGAGCCAAAGGTGAAGGAGATTCAGAAAACACAAGAATTTTCAACATGTGCTGCAATGGGCTTCAGTTGGAGGTGGAGTCAATCGGCTTGGTTACATGACATGAAGTTCGAGTAGTTAACGTGGAGCCTTGGAGGTTTGACTGATCGAGCAACGTATAACATGGACAATCGGAGTTTTGCAGGAGTATCATCGAGATTGAAGCTGCAAAAGAATTGTCCTGATCAATGCCATGGGAAGTAATGATTAGCTGGATGAAATTTTGAGCCAAGGTGGAGATTGTATGAAATTGTGTCTCAAATTCCTATTCTAATTATGTTTCTATTTTAGAGTTGTATTATGTTTAGTAATTTCTTATTTGGCAAGTCTTGACCTCTAAGAAATTGTAATTCTTGTCCAATAAGGAATTGGATTTGAAACTCTATAAATAGATACATAGGCTTTGGATTGAGACTTATGAGATTGAGAGAGATGTAGTCTCATGAGGGAGTTGATGGGTAGAGGTAGTATTTGGGGGTAGAGTAGGGAAAACACTAGTGACGCTGGTAGTGAGGAAATAGACTCGTGGAGTGGTGGTGTTGGTACTCTATTGTTGTAATATTTTTACAAATCATAGTGGAATCTCTTCTCATCCATGGATGTAGACCGGTTTTGGCTGAATGATGTATATCTTGTGTTTCTGTGTGATTGATTTGTTGGCTTTTATTAGATCCAATAGTTATTTGCGCGCTTCCACTGCCCCAACACAAACAAAGAATGACATAAATAAAAACAAAAATCAAAACTTTGTTTATAAAATTTTGAGGGACCCTAACTACAAACGGATTAGAAGTTTTACCACTTTCCCTTATCAGGGGATTAGCGGGATATGCCCCTTTTCTTCTTTCTTTTCCTTGTCGAATCCCTTCACAGTTTAAATAAAGGAGAAATGCTACTAATTTTTGGTACTCCTAAATAATTCTATATGAGTTATTATTCTAAACTCTTTCAACTATTAATTAAATAACCACGCACAAAAATAATAATAATAATAAAACCAGATATACAAGTCAAAATAGTTAATTAAGCATGAATTTGTTTTAATCTTAAAGAATTAAGAGCACCATAAGATTTTTTTTAATTGACAACTTATTTTATTATTTTATTTATAAATGATTTGAAACATCTTGACCACTCTTGTACTTTTAATAATAATAGTGTGTATATATATATTTATGATATCTTTTAAAATAGATTATATAGTTAATTTCATTCAAGCATTCTATTTTTATATATTTATAATATCTTTTAAAATAGATTATATAGTTAATTTCATTCAATCATTCCATTTTCTCTTATATATACTTTAGGCTTACAAACATCACACCAAACCATCTTTGCACCAGTAGCTCTGAGACGAACTCTAGACCAAAAAATTTCTTTAAAATGCCATCCAATTGATTAATGATCATTTTAGGCAGTAGAAACAGGCTGCTCCAATAACCTATAATACCCAAAAAATAATGGACATGATAAGCTGGATTCTGCCTGCATAAGACGGGAAACTTGGCAGTCCAACAACTTATCCATGCAGTTATTTTATCCACATGAACTCTGCAATCACTGGCATCCAGTCTAGTAGAAATCAGAGATGGTGCAATGGATTAGTCTATTCCACATGTTACTAATTAAAGATCCCACAAAAACAGTATTCTTGCTTCTAGCTAATTTCTATGTGAAAATTTCAACCTTTGGAGGAGCGTGACAGTGCTAAACTGCCCTTGAAAGGAAAGATTTATCTACTCCCATGTAAGACAACTCATCCAAACCAATAAAATCTTTGCATCCTCTCTAAACTTATCCAGAATACTTGGCAACAAACTCTCAATAACAACTAATTTTAAATCCCACAGCTTAATAAAAAAGTTCCATTTATTCATCCAGGTATTGTTTCGTTAAGGAAAACACCAGAGAAAGAAAAATATAAAGATTCAAACTTCTAGACGTGACAATTAGAAAAGCCATTAAGATCAGCAAATAATAAAAAAGGATTGGTTAAGAAAAAACACCAAGTACCATAACTTAAAAGTATAATATAAGTCTTTCAAGAAATAGTAATGCGCACAGAAGCAAGCACTATTTGAAAGAAACAACAATGGCAAACTGCTGACTAATACATGGAATTGGAAAACAGTGTGTCAAGAAAGAAAAACACATGGAGTTGTCCTCCAGAGAAGTCCTCTTCCCAACCTTTAAAGAGCACAAAACTCAATATTGATCATCCCAACACACTAACAACAACAACAACAAAAGGACGTGGCTTACTTCCTTACCAAACATAAAATACAGTATTTGTGTGAGTGTGTGTGATGATTCTGACGAAGTAATATAATCTCCCCAACTAGAAGATTTTATTCTAGGTTTCTAACTATTGTTCAAGTGAAAAATGCTGCCACAGGAGCACATGGGAACGACAAACTGGTTCCATTAAAAAGACCAATCTACTTCAACTAATTTGTTGGAGTCTATCACAAACAGAGTTTCATCACTTTTTAACAATTTTGTAATCATCAACAGTGTGGTCATACCCAAAGTCCATACATACTAAAAGTTTCCTCACAAGCGGAACAAAATGCTGGTATTTCCTTGCATTCTCTGGTTGAGAGATTCAATATATATAGGAAATATAGTTCAGACATTATGCATACCAATCCATTACAAGAACCAATAAGCAGGATTAATTTATGAGGATTGTTTCCGAAAACATAATTCTTGTTTACTTTGTGGCATATAGACAATCACGAAGACCTCGAGTGTAAATGAGTGTTTGAAGTGTTTGGATGCTAGTGTTTGTGAGTGAGTGATTGATTGATGGAGGTGAGTTTTAGTGAAGTGGGTGCTGGAGATCAAAGAGTGCCGTGATTTAGAAACACACCTGAATCGCAATCACTGATTTGTATTCTTTGCCTTTTTCGTCGCCGCCATGGCCCTCTTCTCTACTCTAGATCGAGAAAGACGTGCTCTAGTTATTTATTTAGGCTATGTTTGGTAAGGTGTGTTTGAAGGAAAAAGAAAGAGAAATGGAAGGATAATTTTAATTTTGTACTGTGTTTGGTAGATTAATGAAAGAAAAAAACATGGAATTATAATAATTATGTTTGGCAAAAGAAAGTAAAAAAAACAGAAAGAGAATTATTTTAATAAATTAATTATAATACTCTATAAAAGATATATTTACATATATATATATATATATATATATATATATTCCTAGCAGGCCCACAATAAAAGAAAAAAATACTTAGGGCAAATCATTTCAACCTCTCCAATCTCGCCTCCATATTTTCGTTCTCAACTTTGATATATATATATATATATTGTCTCCTAGCATGCTCACAAGAAAAGAAAAGAAAAAAATCATGGTAAATCATTTTAGCCTCTCCAATCTCGCCTCTATCTCCATTCTCGTTCTCAACTCTAAACTTGCCCTCTCTCTCTCTTTTTCTCTCTCTTTGTGCACTACAAGAATCAGAAGTTCAAAATCCATATATTTCAATTTATCTATCTGTTTGCAAGAATCAAAAGTTCAAAACCCATATCGGTATATCATTTCAGATTGTTCAGAAAATCAAAACTCATATATTTCAATTTCCATCGCCGCTGTTCCAGTTCGGGTTCGCCGTTCGCAAGCTCCAGCCGCTGGCCCGCCGTCTCTTACTCTCTCTGCAACTGCTAACTTGTATATATATATAATCTTGAGGATAAAATTGGCATCACAAATATTACATCAATCATTGTTTTCACTTTCTTTCCCTGTCCTCCCATTTTTGGGAGGATAAGAAAATTACGGTCTCCTGTTCACAAAATGTATGTTCAGTTAAAAAATATAATAGTTTTTATCAAATACGATTTTTTACTTTTTACTATTACGGTATTTGATAGAAATAAAAATATAAAAAATAAAACACTTAATAGGCTTGAGTAATTTGAATTTTTGAACATGAATTTGTATTCGTTTATATTGGCAAAAATAAAATAAATTCACATATGTTTCTGAATCGTGAACTTGTTTGTACTTATTTATTAAAATTTGAATATATTTGATTTGTAATTTTGAAAATAATTTTCAAGAATTGAGAGATTATAAATTTTTTAAAAATACAATTTTTTTTAACTAAATGTTTGAAAAATAATTTTAAAACAACTGAACGAAAAACAATTTTTAAAAAATTGAACCATTTATTTATTTTCAGAGATACAAATTAAGGATGCCCTCAATTACTAACATTGCTGTTCGGTTCTACAAAATGAGCTATACGGTGTTCCGTTACTATAATACTATCCCCCACCAAACCCGTCGAACTCTACGGTGTATAGCACTACCCGTACCGCGTCCACTCTCACTCTTAACTCCCCCACTCACCATGGATTCCAAATCCGGCCACCACTTACTGCTTTCAGCACTCACACTCTTCCTCTCAATCTCTCTCCCCTCAGCAACAGACACCTCACCAATCACTCGCTTCCAACAATACCTCCGAATCAACACAGCCCACCCAAACCCTGACTACACCTCCGCAATCGCCTTTCTCAAAACCCTAGCTCACTCCATCGGCCTCCAAACCCTAACCCTCCAGATCACCCCAACCAAGCCCCTCCTCCTCCTTACCTGGCCCGGCTCAAACCCTACCCTTCCCTCAATCCTCCTCAATTCCCACCTCGACTCCGTACCCGCCGAACCCTCCAAGTGGACCCACGATCCCTTCGCCGCCGTCCGCTCCGACGACGGCAAGATATTCGCCCGCGGAGCCCAGGACGACAAGTGTATTGCCCTCCAGTACCTCGAAGCCATCAAAACCCTTAAAAATGAGCTCAATTTCGTACCCACTCGAACGGTGCACGTATCGTATGTGCCTGATGAGGAAATTGGTGGGGGTGATGGGATGGCGAAGTTCGTGAAGTCGAAGGAGTTTGGGAAATTGAATGTAGGGTTTGTGCTGGATGAGGGTCAGGCTTCCACCAACGATGAATTTAGGGTTTTTTATGCTGACCGGTCGCCGTGGAATTTGGTTATTAGGGCTTTGGGGATGCCGGGACACGGTTCGAGGTTATTTGATAACAGTGCTATGGAGAATTTGATGAAGAGCATTGAGATTATGACTAAGTTTAGGGGGACTCAATTTGATGTGGTTAAAGCTGGATTAGCTGCCAATTCGGAAGTTATTTCGGTTAATCCTGTGTATCTAAAAGCTGGAATTCCGACCCCCACTGTGAGTTATATACACACATTCATAAATTTGTATATACTGCTTGTAAAATCAGAAAGAAGATAACTTTATGAGGCAACAATTGAATTGAAAGCAAAGGACTAGTGGCATATTTGGATATTTCTTTGTTCCTATATTGATATTGGAAACTTGGAATAGCTAACTTAACAATCTCTAAGAAAGATAAATTATAATTTGAAATAATGTGTAGAGTGCTTGGAGAAAGATCAATGATGATAAAAGAGGCACCTAGAGGAGGAAAAATATGGGAAAAAAAAAAAAAAAAAAAATTCAAGGAAACATCTTTTAGTATCTTTAGTAGAAGAGAAGAGGATGCGAGTGAATATACTTTGGAGAAATCCTAAATTCGTCTATTTTATATCCTAGAGGTTGGAGAGATTCATGAAAGCACAGGAAAATGCATTATTAACTAATGCATATCCCGCCTATTCGGGTGTTGGGTCCACATGTTCACGCTTGCTTGAAAGTCTAAATTTTTACCATTACACCAAGCATTTACACAGAAAAATAATGAGAAATCCAGAAGAGCCAAGACCAAAAGACGAGAAGTTTAAAGTAAAAGTAAAAAATGCCCTTGAAGGTAGGCCAAATTTGGAGGGGTATGTTTGGAAAGGAAAGCTGTAAAATACTTAATCACTTTTTTTTCTTCTTTTTTTCGGAAGTTAAAATACTTGAGCACTTTGGTGCTTATATATATTGTAGATGTGTGCACGCATATATTTATATTGCTTTTGATATCTATAATGCAAAATATGGAAGTTGGTTTATTTTAATCCCTGGGACTCATTAGTTGATTTTTTACAGGGATTTGTGATGAATATGCAACCCTCTGAGGCGGAAGCTGGGTTTAACATTCGAATGCCCCCAATGACCGACCCAGATCTTCTGAGGAAGAGAATCGCGGACGAATGGGCACCAGTTACTAGGAACATGACATATGAGGTGAATTATGGAAGCTCTGCATCTTCTTTGATTCAGTTTCATTTATAATAAATATACTATGTTTGGTGCTTGGATGTCCCACAGAAATGGTTGTACATTGTGTTTTAAATGGTGTTTAAATGGTTCACTCATTCTTCTATTTAGTTATTTGAACAGAGGGGCATAATGAATTTGAGAAAAAGTTCCTTGGTATCTTTTTTAAGAATTGGGTTTCTCATTATGTGTCATTACCATTTTACGTCGAATTCTTTGTAAAGCATAATAAATTAATTCAATTTTCACTTGGTGAGAAAATTAGAGTCAACTTAGATGGTTTGGACACATACATCGAAGACCTAGCGACAAGCCAGTCAAACAAGGAAGACTAGTTGTCAAGGTAAGAGAAAGAGAGGACGAAAAATAACGTGGGATGGGGTTATTAAAAATTATTTTAAAAAGTTAAAGGCGAAATGGCATTTAATAGAAAAGATTGGAGATGGAGAATTCATGTGGCCGACCCCATTCATATGGGAGCAAGGCAAGTAGGTTGATGATTATGAGGATTGCTATTATTATTACTTGTGATCTTAACAGAAGAATGTATTGTATATCATTTTGATATTGAAATTTTGGAAGTCAGCTTAGATTATTTCCCCAAGTGTATAATTAAATTTTTGATCAAGTGTTCATGTCACTTTAAAGAGTGATTCTGTTTATGAAGCAAATTTTGTGTATTCTCCATTGAGTTCGATTAATCAAACTGGTCAGATAACAAGTGATAAGTCCTATTTGTACATTGAATTCAATTGGTACAAAAGTTGCATTAAATAAGAAATGTCAATGAAATAAAGTTGAGCTGAACCAACCATGGTTGGACATAGATGTCAAATACCTTTTCAATGAAATCTTTCTGTAAGGACATTTTCCTATTAGTTTCTATGAAGTAACGAAGGTTCATGTGGGCTACACTGTCATTTTGTATGACATTACAGTATCTAATATGGAGTAAGTGATAGCAAAGTCTGAATTATTGACATGTTGAATTGTTTTATTTTCCCAGTGCTGTAGAGTTTCTTGATCATCATTAGTGCAGAGCTCTTTTTTTTTGGCTCTATGAATAATCTATTTTTGGAATTGGTTTCGGAAGGAGCTGTACTCATAGATGGAACAAACCCCAAACCCCCCCCCCCCCCCCCCCCCCCCCCCCCCCACCCAACACCACAAACACCCAACACTGTACCTTTAATATTGGGGGCTGTAATGATATGTTATATATATCTTCTCTCCCTCTTCCTCCCCCTCCGTTCACGGAGAGAGAGAGAGCGCCCGGTACCTATGTAGTTTGGGCCTAAATTGTAGGCCATACAATAGTGCGAAAAGGTTTATGCTTTTATCATGTACAGATCAAACTTCTTGTTATTTACTGTGTTTCTATTCCTTTCTGTGTCCACCACTCCCCCGCCCCCCCCTCCTGAAAATATTTGTAATGTTAAAAAAAAAAAAAAAAGACGTTATATTTGTATTTTTCTATTAATTTATCTGTTTATTTGTTTAAGTTGTTCTTTCATTGGATATTATGGATTTCACCATTCCTTAATGCTAGATTTGAAGGATCATTTGGAGGCTCAACTTCTGTTTTCCTGGCTACTAAACGGCAAATAGTTTCTGTTTTATAATTTATAATATGACAGATAAGGGAGATAGGACCGCTAAGGGACAATATGGGACGCCCTTTAATGACAGCCACCAATGAATCCAACCCCTGGTGGTCTCTTTTCAACCAAGCTATCACAGCAGCTGGTGGGAAACTTGCAAAGCCTGAAATCTTGGCTTCAACTACAGATGCTCGGTTCATGAGACAGATGGGAATTCCGACTCTTGGTTTCTCCCCGATGAAAAACACTCCCATCTTACTTCATGACCATAATGAGGTCTGAAAAGTTGGCTGATTTTTCATTATATCTGTTATACAGACATGCTTTAATTACTGATTTTTTTTTTTTTTTTTTTTCGATTTGTCCTGTTCTGCAGTTTCTGAAGGATACTGTGTACTTGGAGGGAATTAAGATATATGAGTCCATAATCAAGATTTTCAGTTCCTTTGAGGGAGCTTCTCTTTAGATCGGTAGTCGATGGGGAAAGTACGAGATTCAACATGATAATGGTCTTATGCCGGTATGATCTTTCATGCATGGTCGACCAGTTTCTCATTTTTTGTGTTACCGTGTCCTGTTTTGATTGCTGTAAAGATATTGCAATAATATTGCCTTTTAAGGAACTTGTAAATGTCCATTTGACTTGTCATTTTGCACTCTCATTCGTTGTCAGCATAGATCTTTTGTGAATTCATTCTAAATTGATATTTTTGTCAGGCTTTATTGTTAAATGTCTAATTACTATTGATAATATGTAATGAAAAATCATGATTTGTTTTGTATCTTCTTCAGATCTTAAAGTTTCAAATTAATAATAAGTATTTGACTAAATTGGTAATCAACTACATAGTTTCATATCAAGAATGCAACTTAAATTTAGTACGACAATAGATGAGGAGGCAGACTATTCAAAATGCGGTCTGGGAAAAATTAAAAAAACTCCTCTTTACTCAACAGATATATTTCATATAAAACTTTTATCTAGTATAAAATAAACTTGTGCAAGTGTTAAGTCAACTGGTGCTATCGAGTGACATCTTTTCCCACTATTCAGAAGACATGGATAATTTCCCAAGCTTTAGGATATGGAGCTTTGATATAAATCTTATTTTATCAGGTATGGGCTGAATCCAGTTGGCTTGGAGAGACAATGGGGTATGTGGAACTAGTAAATGTGTTAATATAATTCATCAGCCTATCCCTTCCTATATGGCTATATAATATTGTGAAAGGATCAGGATTTATATTGGATGTGGTTAGCTTTATAAAAATATACAGGATATCTATCCTTAACACCAAAATAGAGGGGAGAAAAACCTTGACAATATACTTGATCTAAAACGATTATGGATGTTGTATCTCTAGGCTACCAGTTTCTTACTATTTATTGGACATAAGAACTACTATCAATTTGATTTTGGTCTCAGCATGTCTACAGTCTACAAATGTATGTCCATAGTTGAAATCTATGTAACATGGACTAAGATGTGTCTGTCCGGTGTTGATAGGTGTCTAAGTGGCGGATCTATATATGTAATCCCAAAACCCTAGGATGACAAGTTAAATATTCATCTGAGTTAGTATTTTTCTTTTATTGTTTAATAGTAAATAATACTTTTACTCGTTTTGAAGTAAAATGAACTTAGAAGAATTTATACCTTGTTTTGAAGTAAAATGAACATAATAAAAGAATTTTTGTATAATTGTATAATAAATTTGAATTATATAACATGCTTGCTAGGTATATGTCCGATCATACATTTTGGATACATATCACACATTAATGTCTACGCGTCTTGTGTTTGACAAGAATATGCCATGTGCTTTTTAAGAGTTGATGTAACATAGATAGTAAGTAGTCTTTGATTTTTTAAATTTGAATACCTTGACAAATTCATTATTTTTATTTTCTTAATCTCACTACCTCGCTCACATATTGCCATGTGTATGAGCTGCATCTTAGCAACAGAGAAGGTCGTTTACTGATTGTTTACGACACAGCGCTACCATTTTGTGAATGGGAATATTGCAGTCAATGAACCTCAAATAGAATTGTCGATAAACTAGTTTATTTTGTGTGCTTAACAGATGGATGCCTCTGTGCTGCAACCCACCCCCCTCCCCTGCGAAAGGGGTTTACTGATTGTCTACCGCTTTACAATTTTGTATGGGACTATTGTAGTCTATCAAACTTTAACATAGTTGCTATTGATGTGACCTACTTGACTGATGATTGAATTTATCAAATAGGCTGAAATGGGGGGCTGAGAGGGAGTTAAACTACCCCCAACCCAACACCCACCCACCCCTACACCAACTCCTCTTTTTTAACCCCTGCAAGTCTCACGAGGACGGTGCGGCCGGTGCCTCAATCGAAAGGCTAACAGGGCGCGGGCTAAGTGACTTCTTCTTCTATAAAATGTGGTTTTTAGGGAATCACAATATGATTGTTGACATTGCAAGGGTGCCTCGGGTCACATTATCCACAGAGGGTTTCCTTTGATTATGACATATTTGGCATGCTTTTCGAAACATGCACTTGTTGATTCTTTGGGATTGCAGACTTGTGGCCATGCACAATAGCACTTGGAGCAAATAATGTATGAAATACAGTTATGAATAGGCCTCGTATACACTTGTGGAGCAAAAATATATAATGCCTTGTGTCTTCTACCATATAACATATCTCCAATGACCTTGGCAGGACCATTGTGCTCTAAAGAGCATTGATTTTTACAGTGAGGAAATGAAGAGAGACCTTTGGGGTCCTATTCTCTAACCGGGAGGGTGTGTCATAAGTTGCACAAAAGGTGAACAAAATTAGACCCCTTACCAGTCTATTTGCAATATCTTTCTATGATTTTCTTGTGCTTGTCTACAGATTCACTACCATAATTATTGAAGAATTCTTGTCATTTCATGATTGTGAAAAGCTCTTCCAGATACCGCCTCATGGAGGTTAGTTTCAAAATTTTAATGCATTTTTGAGTCAACAAGTTCGTCTCAAGATTATGTTGTCTGCACAAAAGCAACTACAGAGTATTGTTCATATCATTATTGGGGATATGGTTGTCGATACCATGAACCTATTTTCTTAAAAAAATAAATAAATAAACCTATTTCCTGAGACTCTCTTTCTTGGATGCTTCTTAGGCCATGCCTTTGAGATTGTGTGCTTGATAGACCTAACCCACATGGATGTTGCCTCTCTATCTTCCATCACATTTCAAGATTCAAAGCCTCCATTGCACTTTGGCCCATCCTCCCAATCCAGTCCCATGCATTTTCTTCAACAGATTGGCCCTACCTAGCTGGCTTGAAACCCACCTTTTAATTCGGATTACATTATTGCAATGTTGCTTTCATTAATATGATTGGTACGGAAGGTCATGGGTTTAGTACATATTCATATGTTATAGCATAACAGATCTTCATCTATTATAATGAAAATTTTGTGGGGACTAGCTAAAGGAAGAAGCATCAAAGTTGAGTTTGACATTTATTACTAGTGTGTTATTTATGTATAGAATGAGTCGGGACTTGGTGCAATGGTCAGGTTGTTCCATTATGATATTGAGGTCAGATAAAAAAATTTTGACAAGCTCATTGGGTCTATATTTTTCAGGATATTGGCCTAATATTAAATAAAATGAAGGGATATAAAACCATTACTCAAATGTAAATGTGGTTTGTGTTAAAAATTAATGCTATCAAAAGAGTCTTCTCACGAGTCATGACAAGAGTTATGAGTTCTATTTGTTGACCATTGGTATAAAATTAGTGCAATATATTCCAGTGTTTGCATAAGATTAATTGATTTTAAACAAAAACATGGAAAACTCAAAAAGAGTAGTATTTGAAATTGTTCTCTCTTTAGAAAGAAATGAATATCTAGCTTTTTTATTTTTTATTATGAGAATAGAAAAACTATTTAAATAAATTTATACCATAAAGGCCCAACCTTTTCATAATTCATTTTTGGCTTATCAACAATTCGACTTGGTTGAGCATTGAACGTTTTGGAGTTCCAAGGACGTTGAGCCCTTGGCAGAAGGTTTTAACAAAAAACGTAATACTTTTGAGAGAGCTCCTTCATGAGAATAGTCACGACCTCTCCATGTTAAATTGAAATTCAAATGCATTGAGGTTGCGTTCAGCTGGATGGAATCGGAATTGGTAGAATTAGAGAAAAACAACTTAAAATTTTGAACTAATTTTTTTTTTTTTCAATTGTTACTATAAAACTCTAATTTCGTATAGTCGAATATACCTTAATAATTTTAGCACTCATGGAAATGACACAGTCTGCGAGGTTTCAACCTAGGCATTGAAAATAGGTATATTCATGAAATTTCCTTCAAGCTTCCAGGAAAGAAAGCTCTTCGTTACATTCAAATAATAAAATGACGTCTGACATTTCGTAGATAAACAAATACTAGGAGTGTGGTCTCAACATGTGAGAAAGTCTTTAAAATATAAGTTTCTTAAAAGAATCATTTTGTCAGCCACCTGATGCACCAACAAAACAGTGTGTTATTAGATTAATCCATTGCACTTTCTTTAATCAAGACAGTGATTACTTGCAATGTGATGTTTTATCTGTGTTCCCATTTGGTCTACAGGAGGAAGGGGAGAGGAGAGAAAAGAGCTTGTACGGATTAACGACACGATTCTCATCATGCACGTTTATGATTCGTTGAGATTAATGCAATTATTCGAAGAATCTTGTTTCACTATTGTTTTTCTCTTCCTTGGTAAGAAATTCGTGTTCATATGCTCCTTGAATACTGGAACCCTCACCTGTCATTTCGAGAGAAGTTGACAAGTAGAGAAGAGACCTCCACTACATCTATTTTTGCATTTGTGTGATTGTACCAAAGTTTATACTATATGGCTCTTTGCTCATTTGTGCATGATAATGAAATGAAATGATAAACATTATTGTACTGAAATGAAAATGAGACCCTAGCCCTTACTCAACCTCTCATTTTTGGCTCTGAAATGACAAATGCTGGATGTGATTTGTACCGAACCCCTTTGGTCATTTATACATAATGATAAGACATTATTGTACTGTAATGAAAATGAGACCCTAGCTCATATTGGATGCTCTGTAATGACATTGATGGATATAATTGTACTGGACCATCATCCCGATTTCTTATCCTCTTGCAACTATAGAGAATAAGAGTGGATCCCTTCCTATCTTGTGCTGTATTAAAACACGCAAATGTCTCATTTTGATGCATCAAACGACAGAGGATTCCCTTTCAGCGGGAGGAAATCCGGGTTGCTAGAGCACACTTCATAATCATAATTGAAGATTGCCAATGTGACTCACACAAAGTCACATACTCCATTATAGTACAATATATGTCTCTCTAGATAGATTTGTAATAACACAACAGTTCACTCTTTGAGACCTAATATTCTCGTTTGCTTGCTTTTCATGGATTTATACATGTTCTTCTATTTTTGACCATGAAGACCAATATTATTTGTCATGACTCAGTCTCGTGAAAATATTACTACATCCGTCTCAAAAAAATTGTTTTTAATGGAGAAGTTCAATTTGTAAGAGTACGGTCCTCTAAAAGTGAAACTTTTTATAAGACGGAAGGAATATCTACAACCCATAATTTATTTATTTTTTATTTTTAAATTACATCTACGTAATTAAAAGACTTCCAAATAAACAATTCTACCAAGGACGTGAAATCAGTCGACATGATGTGTTGTACTACCCTATTGGATAGGTGAAATCAATTAATTAACACAAAAATACGATCACCTAAAAGTAGACCGAGTGTGAATGAGTATTGTGACATGTAATGTGAAAGCGTGGCCCACATGGGAAAGGTAGATTTATCCCAAAAAGAGGTACTAAATGTGTGCTGGCATTTTCTAAACTAAATTAAAGTGGGTACTAGTCAAATCTTGATTGTGCCGTACCAAATGAGAGAATCACCTTGAATTCCTCAAAAAAAAAAAAAAAAAAAAAAAAAAAAAAAAAAACTTTTTAGAGATAGAGAGAGAAAGTGATCAAAAGTCAAGTTACGCAGCGTCAGCCTTACCCATGCACAGACCTTGATAGAATACGACTTTTAGAGAGAGGAGAGATAAAAAGGACCCATAACGCGGTTTTAGAGTTGCAAGCCAGAGAAGCACCAGCTGTGTTGTTTGCATAAGCAATGTCACTGTTTCATTGCGCGTCTTTAATTACTACTACTGCTGTTTTATTTGTTTTTATTTTTTGTTTTGTGTTTCTGTTTTATTACACTACTACTCACACACTCAAAGCCCACGCATGGAGAAGCATCTTTCTCTCTCCTCACTGCAAATCCTGGAAGCTGCTTAGTTATGTTTTTCTCTCTCTAACATCCATTATTGTATTAATTAGAATATTTAGATACAAGATTTGCTTATACCCAAAATTTAAATGAAAGATACGTTTTACATATAAAATTAAGTGAAACCCACGTGGCCAAATGACCATTTTCCCCCTCATTAACACATATATAATTTAATTTATCCCTCCTAAATAGAGGTATTTATTATGGAGACCTCAAATGCAGTGACTTGTTTTGACAAATTTACATGAAATATGAGTTTATATATATAATTAAGTGAAACCCATGTGGCCAAATGACGGTTTCGCCCTAAATTGGAGTATTTATTATGGAGAAGTCACTTTCTGTGCCTCAAATGCAGTGACTTGTATTGAAAGTCAAAAGTTTAAAAACAATTAAAGGGCATTTAGTTTGTTGAGACTCGAGAGAGGTTTCCTAGAAGGTCAGTCTACTGTGTATACACATATGGTTCCAGGCTGCCAAAAATCATTGCCTTTGAAGTCACAGTGTTGGCTTACTATGAAGCTGTTGTTTTGCAAATCAGAGAAAAGGTCCACATTTACGTGTAAATTCAAATATTAGAGAGGGAAAATACAAATTACTATAACTTCTATATATTTCCAGAACCTTTTCGTTTTTGCCAGCTTCTTTATCACATTCTACGCGTTGCCAAGCTAATTGTGACTATTTTATCCTTTATTTGAACAAATTAAGGTTTGTGTGCATGAAAAACCCGGACATAGATAGCACACATACTTACCCTTGTACACGTAATGAAATATTTTGACTCGATTGATAAATTTTTGAATCGAGTCTTACTAAAATGGAGATTTGAATTTAAATAATATATGTGATTTGCAGTAATTGTGTACATCTGAAAATCGCATAATAATTGGAGAGTCTAAAATGATCAATTTGTAGAAACTAGTTTAGGTTGAATAAATAAATATTAATTGAAACACAAACTATGTACATTTACAATGAAGGGCAAATTGGTCAGAATAAGAAAATATATATATGGTGACAGATGTTTTCCTATAAAATTGAATTAAAAAAACTGGAAAACATCTGTCACCCATTCCATATTACACATAGAACCTTACTCTACTTTGACTAGAGGTAGCTGCTAACCAAGTCATTAAAAGCCCAAACCCCCATCTATAAATACCAACCTTTCTCTCCTTCACAATCACTTCCCATTCTATTCTCATCTCCCCATTCAAAAACAACAAATCAAGAAACAAACCACACAGTCACACAGTGCATTCAAAAATGGTGAAGGCTGAGCAGAACAAGATCCAATCAGAGCCGTCCAAAGCAATGCCATCATCGTCGTCGTCGTCGTCGTCATCAAGCAAGAAGAAGTTCAAGGGAGTGAGGATGAGAAGTTGGGGTTCATGGGTGTCTGAGATAAGAGCGCCAAACCAGAAAACAAGAATATGGTTGGGCTCTTACTCGACTCCTGAGGCTGCCGCCAGAGCCTACGATGCTGCTCTCTTGTGCCTCAAAGGCTCCTCCGCCAATCTCAACTTCCCAATCTCATCCTCACAACAACACCACCACCACATTCCCGATCATCATACCATCATGTCCCCCAAGTCCATCCAAAGAATTGCAGCTGCAGCAGCAGCCAATGCCGCCGCCACCCCACCACCACCACCGCTTCCGCCGCCGCGTTCAACATCCTCATCATCATCCATGTCGTCCTCACTGTCTGATCATCATGTTGATCAGGATGACGTACTGTCACTAGTTTCATCATCTCCTGATCATCATGATGAGCTGATGTCGGTGATCGCGCCGTGGTACAGCTTTGATTATTCTCCGAAGTACACTGACATGATCAATGGCGCGTTTTTCGATCCACCGAAGATTGACGATCTCTATGAAGAAAGCGATATTCGACTTTGGAGCTTCTGCTGATCAAATTATTCAAACCAACCCAATTCGAAATTGTTGATTAATCTGTTTATTTTTTTATTCAATCAGATGATCTTCAAATTTAATTATATTTGAAGACATTACTGACAGTGCATGTTAGGAAAATGAATTTCAGTAGAGTGAGACATTTTTTTTTGGACTATATGTACAATGTCATTCATGGACTTCCAATGTAATAAGAGGAAAACTTTTTTAATTCCATCACTGTGAGTTTGGTTTGCTTTGGGAATTCTAATCCAAGCCCTCCACAGAAATAGAAGAAATTAACATTTCTCATTGAATTGCCTCATTATAAAGATGATATATGATATATGTGGAAAAATATATCATATATTTTTCCACACACACATATATATATATATATGTGGAAATTTGATGCTGTTGAAAGTGTTTTATTTATTTATTTTTTTTTATTTTTTTCGCTTTGTTTGTTCTATGCTTTTGTGGGCCATTCGGAGCATCTAATTGGACACTGTCACGTGAAGAAATTAATAGATGTAGCTGTAACAACTTTTGGTTATGTTATTTTCTTATATAAAATGGAATTTGAACTCACTGTTTTTTTTCTTCTTCTTCTTCAGTAAGTAATGTGAACAAACCTTTTCCATAACGTTACAAAGTGGGGCTTGGGGGGTGAGTTTGTACTTTTTTCTGTAATGTTTGCAAGGTTTTATTCATCATCATGTGAGGTTGGTGAATTGAAGGGCTGAAGGAACTTTCATAGTTCAAACATTAAAGCTATTAAATAATCATACCTATCCTATATAGGGGTGTACAAAAAACCGGTCAAATTGAAAATTCAAACCGGATCAAACCAGACCAGGCAGTTTGGTTTGATTTGTTAATGGTTTGATTTTGTTACGGTTTTAAATTTGTGAAACTGTAAAGATACTGCAGTTTGGTCATGGCTTGAGATTTTTTAGGATCGAACTAGGCCAAACCGAACCGTTATGTTATGTTATGTTATATATATATATATATATATAAAATTATATTGTATATATAGTATAATCCTACAATCCAAATCACGTAGAAGTTTGTAGCAACTATTAGTCCTATGGTCCATTCTTCATTCTCTTTGGTCTAATATATTTATTAGATGATTTTTATTTTTTTATAGTACCTAAATTTTGAATTGTGGCCGATTGTTTATTGTTAAATTAGTAATTCTAAATGTATTAGGTCATTAGTAATTCTCAATTTATTCACTTCAGTTTCAAAAGTGATAGAAAATAATGAATTAAAAATTTTAAACATATTAATAATTCTGAATATGTTGGTAGCTTAGTTTATTGTTGTGCATGTGGATTTTTAAATATGAATACTTCCGTAGCCAAAAAAAAAAAAAGAACTGTGGAACCGAATCGAACCAAATTGGTTTTTCACGATTTGGTTTGGTTCTTTTGATCAAATGGTTCTGTTTGGTTCCAAATTTTTTGAATCCGTTAGAATTTGTTTGATTCCAAAAAATTCTTAAAGCAGTCTAAATCGAATCGTGTGCACCCCTCCCTATCTTCTAATTTATTTGCACTGAAAAAAGAAAAAAAAAAATGGTGTGTAATAGTCGCTACATTAGCTTCTGTCTAGATTGATCTAATCTGTTTTTCAATAATTCTAACAAAAACAACTAGGATTGTCGAGAAGGGCTGAAAGATATTTATCAATCTTTTTCATTTTCCTCTTTGATAGTAAAAGGTTGGGCCAAAATAGATATATTGTGAAATCGAATCCTGTGCACCCCTCCCTATCTTTTAATTTATTTACAAAAAAATAAAAAATAAAAATAAAAAAAGGGTGTGTAATAGTCGCTACATTAGCTTCTGTCTAGATTGATCTAATCTGCTTTTCAATAATTCGAACAAAAACAACTAGGATTGTCAAGAAGGGCTGAAAGATATTTATCAATCTTTTTCATTTTCCTCTTTGATAGTAAAAGGTTGGGCCAAAATAGATATCTTGTGAAATAGTGACATGTTGCACTGTGACCCGATTTTGATATGTTTTGTTTTGCGGGTCATGGACAAGAGATATATATAATCCTAATTTTAATTCAATATATGTGTGCTAGGATTTGTGATGACGCGTGAGAACGCTGAAAGCCGAATAAAGAGAAAAAAAATCGAGATTAAGAACTTAAGAATTTATAATCTCAATTTGAAAAATCTTTGCCGACTATTTTTTTATTATTATTTTTTATTGTGAATGTAGGTTATAAGTTGAACAACGTAAATTTTTTATTTTGTTTAATCTTACATGATTTTATATTTTTATCATTTTATGTTTTAGGTCATTTTTTTTATTGTGTTTTGTCTTTATGGTGTTTTTCGTTACATGTCTAACCAATTATATATATAGTGCTAGGTTTCCAATTTAGTGCTTGAAAACTAAAAGGTGCCTTCCAAGTCCTAAAAAACTCATTTAAGTCGCCTCTCAATGTTACGCTTAAAGGAACAAAACATTTGCTTAAAATCAATTCACCTGTTTCTGTTTTCATTGTGTTGAGAGGTGGTTTACAAACAAAGTAAACTCTACTTTTATAAGTGTATATAATATACACATATATGTGTGTGTGTGTGTGTGTCTATATATATATATATATGCACATGAACTGTCCTAGTGGGCAATGCACTGATAGTGCATGGTTCCATGCTCAATTGTCTCGATTTACATTGTATTTAGCTGGCCAATTCTCTGTGGGTCATGCTACTAACCTTTGGAATTAATGCAGGTGTTCTTAATAGGCCCCCCCACCTAAGTACTGGGCCCTTCCACCTTGTTTATACATGAACTTGGTACTGGGCTTTGGCACATGATCCTCTTGTCTGCAGTATTTCTATTTTCAACACGTCATGTGAAGCATTAATCTTGTCACAATCATACCACTACAAATGAAGAACTTACAATTGTTTCGCAACCGCTTTTGTTTTATATTTTTATTTTTATATCTGAAGTAAAAATAGTATTTTTATTTTAAAAGTGTGTTTTATATTATTTCGAAACTTATTTGCTAACTTAAATTTGTTGTAAGATTTTTAAAAATAAAACATATAAAAATCTGTTTGATAAAAAAATAAAAAAAAAATGTTACAAATTTAAAAAATTAAATGATTAGTTAAAAATGCCGTATTAGAATTTTTTTTTTAGTAAACAATGTTTTTGCTACAGTGCGAAAGTAAGCATTCATTTTATGTTTCTTATTTTGGTCTTTTTTTCAAAAGTGTTTTAGTACTATTCAAATGATAACAAATCTTACCAAATATGTTTCGAACTTTGCTACAGTATTGACAAAAGCAAAAGAAAGAAAAAAACGAAATAGAAACAATTATCAAACCGGCCATTAGAGCATCTCCAATGGTAAAAGCTATTTTCAGGTGCCAAATCTATATTTTGACCAATGTTACAGTGCTAAAATGCTACATTTTAGCAATTTTGCTCGGTCCATTTCATACAAAATGCTATTTTTTTAATACAATCATCATTTTTTTTCAATTATCATTCTCACCATTCATATTTGCATCAGTAATATTAATATTATGCACATTTCAAGTCAAGTTGTAGACATTGAAAGCAAACTAAAATTAAACCTAATTAAAAAGAAACAAAAATTTAAAATATCTGGTCAAAAAAGGACCAATATATATACATATATATATATATATATGTATAAATTTATATATTTGATTCTATTGTTATATAATTTTTTTTTTCTTTTTTGAAAATTCATATTATATATATATATATATATATATATATATATATATATATATATATTTAGGGCAAATCATTTCAGCCTCCCCAATTGCCTCCATCTCTATTCTCGTTCTCAACTCTGAACTCCCCCTTTCTCTCTATCTCTCTCTCTCTCTACAACTACAAACTAGAAAATCTACAAGAATCAGAAGTTGAAAACCCATAGATTTCAGTTTATCTATCTTTCTGCAAGAATCAAAAGATCAAAACCCATATCGGCATATCATTTCAGATTGTTCAAAAACCCATATCTTTTAGTTTACATCGCCTGCTGTTCCAGTTCGGGTTCGCCGTTCGCAAGCTTCAGCCGCTCTCTCAACTCTTAAGCTTGCCCTCTCTCTGCAACTGCTAAATTGTATGTATTTTGTTTTAATTTTTTTTCTATCTCTCTCTCTCTCTCTCTCTACAACGGCTAAATTGTATGTATTTTGTTTTGTTTTAATTTTTTTCCTATCTATCTCTCTCTCCAACTGCTAAATTGTATGTATTTTGTTTTAATTTTTTTTCTTTCTAAATCAACAAATCAAGGTCTGTAATTCTTGTTTTGCTTGAAATTGTGTGTGTGTGTGTGTGTGTGTGTGTGTGTGTGTTGGGAGGGGGGGGAGGGGATGGGGGGAGATTTTCAAATTTTGAGAGGCCAAATGAAAGGCCATTGGAGACCCTTTTTTTCACCATCTCTCAAATTATAGGTTTGAGAGCCCAAAATAGAAGAGCATTGGAGATGCTCTTAGGGAGTCAGAATGGTCTAATATTTGTTGATGTGAGAGTTGTGATTCAAAGTAAATTCAACTAGGTGGATGATGATATTAAATGACATTATCATATTTTACTCATGTAAAAAAGTTGAGTGTGTTCAACTTTCGTATTACTTATTATACTTTTCCTGTAAAAATGTTTTGAATTGGATTTAAGCTGTTCATTAATTTATTTCATTTGCAAAATGTTTTCAAAGAATGAAAGTTATCTTATTTATGTAGTGAAAATTTGACAACCCCGCTTAACCTATGTTTGGTACCTCACAAGGCGTTATTGATGTAGTAATGAAAAAAACAACTTTTAGTTGTTGTACAAACTTGAAATTTTAAAAATTACTTATACGGAGTATTTTTAAGTAGAATCATATAAGTATACATCATAAACATTTTCTAATAAAAACATGTAACAAGAATAACACAAAGTGGATAGTTTAATGATAAATATTTCGCCTCACATCCTAAAAGTAAGAGAGTTTGAGTTTCATTGAAACCGCATTGAGAGAAAAAAATTAATGCCAAACAAAGGACTATGTATGCCGGTGGTGGTGGTGGTGTTGGTGGTGGATAATGGAGTGCTCTGAGCAGCCAGATACCACCATCATATAATAAAATAATGATGATTAAACTTAAGATTAGAAACAATTTTTGTACTTTTACTATCTCTCCCATATTTGATATTAGTAGCTGTTACAAGGGGTATTTGTCCCACATTGAATTTGGATGAAAATTAGAATGTGTATAAATGGGTGGATATACAGTACTACTCAACAATTTAAATTTTTGGATAATTACAGTAGTTCACTTCCTTTGCGACGTCCCAAATTAGTTGTTCCATAGAAAAGTCAAAGCAAATAAATGATATCTTTCCATCATTACTATTAAAGTTTTAAAAAAATTTCAAACTTGGTAACTATACATATTTAAATTAAAAATGACAAGTTAATAATTTTAAAAGGAACAATGTATTAATTGTATTAATTGCAAGTCCCTCTTAAAACTTCTAATTCTAAACATGGACATCTAATATGGGCAGGGATGGAGCCAGAATTTAATTTTAGGGGGCTCAAAGTGATATTTTACAAATTATGTATCTATATGTATAAAATATTTCACGCCCAAGGGTGTTTTAGAAAGAAAAAGAAATTTTAGAGGAACACAAAATAATATTTTACAAATTATACACTTATATATATAAACTTACAAAGGGTAAAATAAAAATAAAACTAAAGAAAAAATAAGAATGATACTTCTGAAAAATAAAAAGTAAAGAGAAAAAATAATAATAATGACTCAAAATAATAATAAATTATGAATGAACCAAAAATAAAAAATAAAAAAATGAAGAAAAAAAAATCACAATCCAAAAAACTTACCAAATCAACCACTTCTAAACATCAACTATAAAGAGAAAAATAAAAATAAAACAAATCAACTACTTCTAAACATCAGTTAGAAAGAGAAAAATAAAAATAAAACAAAAGTAAAAAATAATAATAATGCTTCTAAAGAGAGAAAGTAAAGAAAAAATTAACAATCCAAACTTCTCAATACAACAAATTAAGAATAACAAATTTTGAACCATCCAAAGTAAACTTACAAAGAGTAAAATAAAAATAAAAACTAAAGAAAAAAGAAGAATGATACTTCTAAAAAATAAAAAGTAAAGAAAAAAAATAACAATAATGACTCAAAATAATAATAAATTAAGAATGAATCAAAAATAATAAAATAAAAAAATGAAGAAAAAAAATTACAATCCAAAGTAAACTTACCAAATCAACCACTTCTAAACATCATCAACTAGAAAGGGAAAATAAAAATAAAACAAATCAACTAGAAAATAAAAATAAACTTCTAAACATCAATTAGAAAGAGAAAATAAAAATAAAACAAATCAATTAAAAAATAAAAATAAAACAAAAGAAAAAATAATAATAATATTTCTTAGAAAAAGAAAAAATTAAAGAAAAAAATTAACAATAATAAATATTTTTTTATATAATTTGAATTTTATTAGGTAATTTGAAAGTAGTGATTTGAATTTTATTATTAAACTCTTTAAATAAATTTTTAGGAAAAAAAGGATAAATAATAACAGTATAGCTCTACTAAATAAATATTAAAATACTGAAACTCTTTGGATTTTTAATAATAGTGTAGGTGTGTGTGTGTGTATATATATATATATAAAAGCTTAATGGGCCAGCTGGGCCAGGGGACGTGCCCCTGGGCCTAAGCTGGCTCCGTCCGTGAATATGGGGCGGAGGAAGTATTAGAAAATCCTGTAACGCTCAACTTGCGTATTTTGCCAAGCAGCCCAGCGACTAGGGTAGCCGACACGTTTTCGTGATTCGTTTGCTGCGGCTCTGTTGTGACTTCTCTCCACTCTTAATTCTTAGGAAGAGATATGGGTTATTCAAAGGATCAATTGCTCGCACGTTTGCAGGTTTTCTCTCTCACCCATACGTTTGCTTCTTCTATATCTATAAAATTTGTGTTCTGTTTACTCTTTGCAGTCTTCATATGATAATCCATTAATTTATTTTGTGATTATATCCCAACTTTTTGTTTTTGGTATTTTTAATCGGTGAATTTGATCTGGGTTTTCTTCGTTCTGTTCAAAATCCATGTTTTATGTTCACTTCAAGAGGATTACAGACGGTTTGCAGTAAATTACGGTTACTGGATAGTGCATATGAGCTCACTGTTTTGTGATTATGAGGCCTTTGTATTTTTATTTTTTACTTGTAGAGACGTTTTTGAATGTGGAACGATTATTTTACTACTACATCTAATTTGGTGATTTATTGTTCAATTCATGCCTTGGCTTGTTTTTTATTCTTACTTTAGGTACATCGATTGTATTAATTATTCAATATAACTGCGGAGCCGATTTGATATAGCAACGTTCTCTAGTAAAGTTTAGCAAAAACAATATGGAAATTTAGGGTTTGTAAAGGCGTAGGAATGGGTTTTGGTTTTGGGTTTATAATGATCAAATAACTAAATATGAAGCTCTGGAGCATGTGGGTCTGCGAACAGTAACAAATAACAATGCTGACTTGTGTTCTCTTCATATGCTATGATCAAATGATTCACCGACTACTTTGTGTGAACAGTAACAATAGTAGGAGTACAATACTAGAAACTTCTATTTTTGACTTGTAAAACCCATTAAAACCGACTATAGGCCATAATGAAAGACTCACTAACTTGACTAAGAATATATTTAGAAATCTTCAAAATCTTATAAAGAGATCATTTCTAGAGAGTTGTGAAATACCCTGGACTCATAAAGAGCGATAAAATATATAATTATATATAAAACTGATAATGTTTTAAGTTAAGAACAACTCGATGTGACTCAAAAACTTTAACTATCCAAGGTTGCAAATGGGCCCTGCCTTGAATAAAAACAATTTTTTAACATTCGCCTCCTTCGAGTTTTACTTTTTTATTATTTTGAGTCTTTTACGGATTGCATTATTACACTATATTAACAGCTACATTCGATATATTTTGATGATGACCTAGTTCTACAAAAAAGCCACTTGTCCTGAATTTTTGCAGATAAATATCTTATGTTTAAAATGCATATGCCTTTCCATGAATTGCCTTGATTACTGATAGTGTTTTCGAATTTCTGACGTTTCTAATATTTGGAAGTAGAACGTTCACTTTTGTTGGAATATATGCATATATTATATACTGTGAAAACTGATGTGTAATTTCCATTATGTTTAGCAATTTGATTTATCTCATGACAGTGGCTTAACTTAACAAAAGAGTATTTAATTAATTATATATATTTTTTGGCAACAAGTTAACTAATTTAATATTATATCTTATATGACACTCACTGACATACTATCTTGTGTTTAGAATGATTTTACGTTTTCCTTTGACATTAATTGGTGATAACTGATTTTTTTTTTATTGTGGATCTTCTATTCTGGTGGAACTGATCTTAACCTTGGGATATCTTAGGAGCTTCAAATTGATTTTGCCCAATATGATCATCCTGTTGTTTTGACAGTTGAAGCTCAGGTAAAAGGAATTGCAAAATTTGTTTTATTTATTTATTTAATTTTTGATAAATAATTTTATTTCTTTTATTATACATTGAAGCAACTCTGTTTTTTTTTTTTTTCCATTAGGCAAAGTATGTTGGGCATGTGAAGGGTGCATTGAGTAAGAATTTGTTCTTGAAGGTGCGATATTAAAATATCAGGAAAAAGCCTTCTCTTATTATAGAAGATTTATTCGATGACTTAACACTTGTAATTGTCTTTATGTGCAGGATAAAAAACATAGGTTTTATGTTGTTTCTGCTCTGGCGGATACTAAAGTAGACCTGAAAGGTGTGTGTATATATACTTTTCTTATTCTGATTGATTTATTTCATTTTAAAAAATGAACTGTTATAGATGTTATCGGGCTTGATTCTCATCCTCTCGTATGATTGGATTTTAGTTAATATATTGTTTTTAATTTTCATGGATGTTTATGGGAGTTATTTGTGGCCCTGAAAAGCTGTGCAGTTCTATCTCAGAGGCTTGGTTTGGGAAAAGGAGGTTTGAGAATGGCTCCCGAAGAAGCACTGGGAGAAATACTTCAGGTGTGCATATGTCTTTAGTTTCTTTTTGTACTCTCCATTTTCTTAGGTATAGGCTGTTCTGTTGAGAAACTAAGAATGTTATCGATGCTGTCCATGAGAGAGAGAGAGAGAGAGAGAGATTTTGCTGTCTAATTGAATTTCACCAGGAATGGAATTCAAAAGATAGAGAAATTAGAACCTAATATTTATTATTATCATCATTAGTTTAGAATTCTATAACGTCCCATGATTAAGAATAATGCGTTCAATGGCTGATGGTGTTTTTTATCTCTTTGCTACTTGATTGCGTTCATTTGTTTGTGTGATTGTCTCCAGAGATGAAATGGTACAGATGGAGTGAGATATCTGATTATGTTGGAATTATCACATATGCGACAAAGAATGGTTATTTTTAATTGATTCGAATATCTTATTCCAGAAAAAGATGTAGGAGAACAACCAGAGTAGTTGATATGTTGTGTTTCTATTTTCATTGGATTTCAATGAAATGAATTCTAGTAACACAGGATGTGAGAACGTGGCTATCTATATTTTTTATATCTATATTTTTTATATTAACCAACAACAAGATTAAGCTTGAGTGGTATATCCTTTGTCTCCCAAAGAGGAGGTTGAGGGTTTGTCCATATGGGAATCAAGTGGGTGTGCAAGTGTTTCTTACCTCCTAAAAAGATTTATTTTGAATTTTTGAGGGTGCAACTTGTGCCGGCGTATCCTGAATTCAACCTGAGATTTCTGTGGGCTCGGAGAGATTTCTTTTAGAATGTGGGTCGTCGGCTCTGTCTTGAAAAATATCAACCTGAATTTAAGTGTGAAATTAGGTGTCAAATCCAGCTTGATCCAAAACCGAATTGGGCTACCGGAGCTTAACCCGAATACTAATCCAACTTTATATATTACTACATATTACAGATACATTGCACATAACCAACTCAATCCCAAGCTAGGCAAATATTTGATATCTGGAATTATTTTTGTGTGTTGACTAATGGCTCTTTTGTTGTGTTTAAACTGTGTAAATGATCTTTCTTATTTGTGCTTGAATTTTGTGGTATGAAATGCACATCTGCAGACTTGGACTTCATTTCAGACCTATTGATACATAATATCTTTGCTTGATTGAACAAGAAGTGTTTGGCTTCCTAATTTTGCTTGATAATAATTATGTGACATCGAATTTGGCCCGAAAAATTCTTTGATTAATCTTTTTAGTGGTAGACTGTAGTTAGCTTAATTTTTTGGCTGGATGGTCATTGGTCAACAGTTCTCGTATCATCCTGAGTAGGATGCAAAAATTTTGCTCCTTTTTATTTATTTATTTATTTATTTTTGGACATTCCTATCAATATAAATTGCTCTTGAGGGCTTGCTGCATCATATTTTTATTGGTATTCAGCCACTGACGAAGGAAATTTCTGTTCAGACAATTAACTCAACTGAGCTGTTTCGAATGAAGTTCGTTGAAGGATATCATTAATAATGAATATTAACATGTATGATTACATAGGTTATAAAAAATTTGATTGTAATTTGCTACCTGACAATGCTTCTTGCTTTATTTTGAAGGTGCCACTGGGTTGTGTTACTCCATTTGCACTGGTGAATGAATCAGCTAGGTATCCTTTTACTTTGCTAGTTTGCTGTAGGCTGTCTGTGTAGATAGTTATTTTTGTTGTATTTTCTATTTTATCTGAATAAATCTTCAGTCTATATGACAGCTTGCATTTTTCTTTTGCGAAGGCATGTTTCGTTGTTGTTAGATCAGGGATTTAAAGCTCAGGAGTGCTGCTTCTTCCACCCACTGTCCAATGATATTTCAATTTGTAAGTGAAAAGTGTTTCTCAAGATAGACTCTATTTATTTATATAAAAATTAATTATTTTACTCATATACTTTCTCAACCTTTCATAGTTAGAAACTCTGGTGAACCATTTTGTGGTATATATCTTGTGTATTCTTGTAAAAGACATCAATTTCATTCAGCTGCCATTTGTGTACTGTGTATTGTCTTGTATGTTTCAACATCTCCCTTGAGGTTTTGAGCCAGTGTATTGTTCCAAATTGACCGTGGTAGCTAGACGTTTTTGTTTTATTTGGTTTTCCTGGAAATGTCAATGGGTTGAATGTGATGTTTTCCTTCACTATGCTAGTTTGGTTGTGTCAGTTTAGAAGGTGAAGTGAATTTTATTTTTCACACTAAATCAGCAATCCTTAAGTTTCAAAGTATTAAGGTATTCTGGCTAGGGAGTGCTGGGATTTGATGCTTGGTTTGTTTGGTGTTCAGTGGGTTATGCCAAGGTCCTCTAGAGGGTTGATTGAGGCTTGGAGAGGTTGCATAGTGGGGGCCCAAGTCCGGGATGTTTGGAGGGTTACGCCATTGTGTGTCTGGTGGTCTCTTTGGCTCGAAAGAAACAAGAGATCCTTTGAAGAAAAGGAGACTCCTATTTCAATGCTTAAGTTCTCTATTCTTACTACTCTTTTTTGTTGGGTTATAAGGAGAAATGATAGATATTTGGAGGAGACTGTAGATTTTTTGGACTCCTTGAAAGTTTAGAGGCCTTTTTGGCCTTGTGTAGTTCCCTTGGGATATTCTCCCTTTTTGAGCGCTTTTAATGCATTTTACTTATCAAAAAAAAAGTATTAAGGTAAGGATCATTACTTTGTGGGACTATTACCCTTGCAATTTGAACCTTGTGCCATTCCAGTCACACTAATCATGGAAAAGTATCACATTTTTTATTGAACTTCTGATGTCATGGCTATTTTTTGGTTAGAGAAGACATACGCTCTTTAGAAGACCGAAACTAAGGGTTTGGTCTGAAGTCCCAACCAATTGAGAGGTGATTGTGGTGTGATAAAAAGCATCCACGGTAGTTTTGAGTTTTTTAGTTATTTGAAATTTGATCATATTTGTTGAACGTCATTATTCACGGTTCTATATTATTGTAAAAAGAAATCTTTAGAAATCACTTGATTCAAATATTATTATAAAAAGTCACACAGCACAAAATGTGACATTGTATAACTTATAATTCTTTCTTTCTTGTTTACACATACAATGCCCGTTGATGGTTCCAGCTCTTAATGCCCACAATCTTGACAAGTTTCTAAACTCATTGGGAAAAGACCCGAACTATGTTGATCTGGAGGTAATGTGAAATTCAGTTTCTTGACTGAATTCATCCAAATACTTTTTAATAGATTATTTCAATAAAAACTGGTTGGGCTCTCTCTTGTAGGCTAACCCTTCAGTAGGGAAGGATCAGCCTCCTGATCTTGCTGCTCTTGTTCCATCTGATACAACAGTACTGCCAGATCCTCCAGAAAAAGTAGCTTCTTTGCAAGGTCCTGAAAAAAGTCACGGTCCTGTGAATAATAAGTCCACAGCTGTAACAGGTATCATGTTCCCACAATATGAATTTAAAGTCTTTACTTGTGTACTTATGTGCTGTCAATAGTGATGATCCAATTTCTGTCGTTAGAATATTATATCCTTTCAATATTTACCATGCATACCCATCACGGGTCCTTTGTTAATGGAATTTTTCTTCCTTGTTCGCATAGTATGGCTGATGAGTCTATTTGATTATACATTGTGTACAAGCTTATGTTCCAGCTGAGATATGATTCTTTCTGATTTGTACACTGGTGTATGAAAATATCATGAAAGGGCTGGAAAAATCCCTCCTGGTATTGTAACTCAAAATTTTCCTTGTGATTGAGGGCAGCTTAATGGTTGTATGCCTCCTAAAAAGAGACGTGTTAGAAATAAACATTTAAGAGATTTCAAAAGAAACCTTACTTTTAAAACCACCATCAGAAATCAAGGGTTCCTCACCTTGACACTTTAGAAGTCCTTCCTCGTTGCCATCGTCATGTGGTTAACATTGCATATTTTGTTATGAAATTTCATATTTACTTTCTTTCACAATTTTGTTTGTTCTTTATTTTTTAGCAGGGCTACTCACTTGAATTGTTTCTGAATTGTGAAGCACATTATTCCCTTTCAATTTGTATGGATTCATCATGATTTCTTACACTACGGAATTGCCTTGAAATTTGAATCAATTTTAACTTGGGATTTGAATAGCAAACCACCAATCAAATTTAACTGATGATTTGTGTAGCAAACTATGAATCAAATTTAACTTTAATCTCTCTGGCTACTTTGCTTTCTGCTCTTCTTTTCCTCTCCTTTTCCGTCAGTTTTTCTTTGTTTTCAGTTATATTCTATGGCTTTATTTTTGCATTATAATTATCTATTTTATATTTCATCGTTTGGGTTTGTTTGTTTGTTTATAGACTTGTGTTTGTGTGGTGATGAAGCTATATGTGGACTAGAGTTTCTGACTCTGGTATTCAATACCTAGAAGTTGAAGACAAACCCTTGGCTGTCTGAGCACTCTGTACCCAAAATATTTTCACTTTTGTTCTCAGTGTTGAGTCTAGTATCTTCCTGGGAATTTTTTGAACAGCCCTTTTCTTTCATCTATTAGACCATCACCTCTTATTTTTATTGATTTTCCAATTTTCAAATTTTTTCATTAAATTTTTTTGATGGATTATTTTTATATATTAGAGTTCATGTAAAGGGGCTTATGATGATAATTTTAATTATCTTAGCGGATTTCAGTGAGACTACTTATCTATGATCTGATTGTTACACACACTGAAGCCGTTGTTTTGACCATATTTTTCGTATTTTTTTTTGGTTATTATTATTTTTAATTGCATAGGTATAGAGGTTAAAGAAAAAGGGAATTTGGTAGAAACACAATTGATAATATGTTTAAGATATTAGAATATTTATCAAATTTGTTATGATGTTAATGTGGTGGGTTAAGAGGAATGTGGATGCTATGATGAGACGAGACACCATTTGGTGTTTTTAGGGCAGTGGATGGGGCATTATTATGTCTCGCCGTGAGCCTTTTTTATAAACGACTTCTCCTTCCACTGAGCACAGACACTCGGTCCTCTACCTTCTTTTAACTGTTTTTCAATTTTTGCAAAATTCACTTGTGAAATATTTGAAGTTAAATGTTTTGAGTTATAATGTCAGATAGTATTTGTAGTGAATGAAAATTCGTAATCACACAATATTGGTGTTTGTGTGTGCTATATAGTCTTATAAAAGTGGTTTTTAATGTAGTATGTTTAGTTGCGTCCATTACCAATTCTGGGGGATAAATAGTTCCTCTTGGTATAATGGCTAGGACGCTACATTTATCTCAAGTGTGGCATTCCTGATTTATGGTTTCTTCAATCCCATTTGATCCTGGAAATACCACATACATTTTTTGCTTATTTATATATAAAAGTTACTGGATTTTTTTTTCACCTTTGATTTGAATAGTGAAGTGAGAGGTTTTCACTGCTATGATGGGTATTATATTGTTCTCTTGTCTACCCTATAACCTTATTGCAATTTAGAATCTGATGTCGATCTTGATGACCATATTATCAGTCATTATTCCTTTCAACAATCTAGTATACTTTGCATTCCATGGGCCACTTGATTTTACTTTCCAAGTATTTAAGTTGATGCATATTATATGTGCAGGATGTTTAAACAAAGGGAAAAATTAATTTTTACGCGGACACAAATCTATTGATTTATAAAAGAGTTTAAGTGGACTCCAAAGGACTACCTCATTGTCAGTATTGATGGTTATATATTTAAATTTCTTAAAAATACTATAAGGAGTTTCTTAAATTTTTTCTACTTCTGATTAGTTAAATTATTTATAATACTTTTCTTTGTTGGGTTATATTAATATCAGTGGGAAATTCAGCATGGAAAGCCAAAGAAAATCAAATTTGGTCTGATTTGTTTGTTCAACCTAACAGTACTAGTTAAGATAATGACTTTTATTAGAAGGTATTTTATGATTATATGAGAGTAGCTCCAAGACATGTAATTCCTGTACTTTGGGTGGCACTGTTCATACAATTTCTCTCTTTGATGTAGGAAAAGCGAATAAACCATCTAAAGATGCAAAAAAGGAGCAATCAACCTTTGCTGATCCTGAGAAATTTGTGGAAGAATTCCTAGAGAAAACAACAGCCATTGTTCTTTCTGAGGTAAGTAGAATACTATGTTCGTCACAACTTTATACTATTTCTGCTTCAGGCCTAAGAATTCGATAATATAGATCAAAGAGGAGACTGTCAAGCAACATGGGGAACAGCTTGGTGCAATGGTATCAAATAGTATCAGGAAACATCTTTGCTTGGACTTGAAGAACCTAGCTGTGAGTATATTTTTTCTTTTTGTAATTACTTGTTAAAAAGTTTTCACCTGTTTTAATGAAATTGTATTATATGGTTATGGATCAACCAATCACCTAAACTGTTTTGCCACTAAATATGTTAAGTGAGGCCCGCCGTATCGGGACCCGCATTATTTTACTCTCAAGCCACTTGTTGCAAAGGTAGACTGCTCATGGAGATCTTAGATTGAAGCTCTGATAATATTTTAATCGGATATCATAGCTTTGTATCCATAAGAAGTTAGTATAGTTTCCTTTTTATGTTTATTCATTCCATATCTGTGGAAGAAGAGAACATTTTATGAAGAGAACATTAGGCATCATGCTCTGACCTCTGTTTCTGGGAGGAGAAGAGGAGACAGTAGGGGTTGAGTTGATTTTGGACCTGGTATAAGTCAATTGCGACATTAAGTCTTCAATCTTGCGCTCTCTAGGATCAACCTCGCAATGTTTGTTGGGTCTGTTGAGATCACGCCTACCTAACTGCTCCAATCTTTTATTCTCAGCTCTGAGCTCTCTTGCCTCTTCTCATCTTCTGCTTGAGCTCTGGCATTTTGAATTTCTTTGTTAAAGTCTGACCAAGCTCTTGGGGGCTTGACTCGATGAGCTGCTTTGATACGAGCTAAGTGCTCCTCCTCTGAGAAAACAGGGAGGACTTACAATAGTGACATGCGAGGTGCTCTGCTTATGGGCAAGTGAGGGTGGGAGGTCAGGAGACATTGTGGGGAGAGAGGGATAATGGGTATGGTAGCCTTTTCTGATGATGTTGGTCAGTAGAGGTTTCAAAGTAGGCTTGAAAGTGGGATTAGAGCTTGGTTGTGGCTTGGAAGGAGTGCAGTGGAGGATGATGGGTGGTTGGGTGGAAGAAGGGGGTTGAGAGGGATGAGTCGATGATGCCCCATTAGTGGTAATACCCTCTTTTCATAATAACTTTTTCCCAGTAAATGTGATTTTTAGAGTTTTTACCCAGTACATGTGTTTTTTATGCTAGACAGATAAACTATTACCATTATACTGTATTTCGCTTGATTGTTTCATTTTCATTCATCTCTTCCATTGGTCAATTAAATATTCATATATTGCTTACTGCTTTATGGCACTGAGTCCATATTTTTTTTCCAGACATTATTGAAGAATACAGCGTACACAGAAGGTTTTCATGCCGGTGCTCGCCACCAACCCAAGTACTAGAACAATCAAGGGGAAAATATTTACCCCTTTATAATGGAGTGATATTTCTGCCGTTGAAAAGTATTCATTTATTTATAAATATATTTGTGTACTTGGCGTGTGCCTTTATTTCCTGAATGTATGATGATCGCAATTGCCACCTTGAGTTCTCAGGATGTGTATGAAGGTTGAATCAGACTAGCGGGTGGCATAAGAATTCTGGGCAATGTGTTGATCATCTTTTTGATCATCAAGATGTTTGTGTCTGACCCAAAACATAGTATTAAACTTCATTGAACTGCTGTCAATGAAGATACTTTCCAATGATATTTAACTCCTAGTGCCTAAAGCTGCTGGCCTAATTTAACTGCAATAGTCGAGTGTTTTTCCCCTGCGACCTGCCACTTGTAGAAATTGTGGTTTCCTTTCATTTTTCTCCTTTAATGTTTGAAAGTTTACCTATGCTTTCAAAACGTTTGCTTTTTGAAAACATTGTTGATGTGATGTAGGATCCTCTCCATTCTCTCTTTAGATTCCCCCAAATTTATTTTTTGTTTTTATTTATTTATTTATTTTTTGAAATAAAAATAAAAAAAGAGAGAGGGATAGAGAGGGAGGGGGAGGATCTGCTTAATGGATAAAAATGGGTGCTTTTATTCAGATTGTTGTAGAAAAAGCGAACTTCAAAGACCAAAGGTCCTCTGGCCAAATGGTATGATGGGGGAGGGCCAAATGGTATGATGGGGGAGGTTGAGAGTTCGAGTCTTTCTAGGGACATGTGGATAAAAAGGTTCGGCTACCCAATATCACCACCAACACCATCTCTGCTCGCACCACCACCTACCTACCTTTGCTGCAAAACTTTATTGTGTCTTGCAGCAATTTTATTGAATCAGCAGAAAGCAAGAGATGAAGAAGGGTAACTGATTGCATTAGCTCAGCAGAAAGCAAAAGTTGAAGAATAGTAACTGTTTGTATGAAAAACATAAGCAACTAATTCATAGAATTGTTTTATAGTAGTAACAGATAGTCATAACCAACACAACACACAATGTAATCAGGTGGCAACATATCAGCATCGATTCGACGGTGCCCTTTTAAGTTCATGTACAACATCATATCAATTATTAGCATGGTGCAACTGCTTCAAGCAAGAACAGCCCCATCATGGACTAAAGAATACAGCAAGAACGCCATCCTGAGTTAGCTGCTGAAATAGGCATGCGTAACACAAAGAATTCAGCCGAAAGACTAGATACTATAATGAATTAAAACCTGTTAAAAAGGCTCCCACCAAGACTCGGAAACTGCAGCTTAAAAGCAATCAAAGTATACATTTACAATGAAATCTGAAATCCTCTTACTTATCAAAAAAAAAACCTGAAATCCTCTTACACAGTCAAGAAGTTCTAAAGCATGGTCTTCAAATGATCAATTCATATATTTATATATATATATATTTCAATGGGATTTTTGTCATGTGTAAAGATCAAGTTATTTCTTTAGGCTTTTTTAAGAAAATTTTATTGTCCAAAAGACTGATTTAACAGTTTGCAGATCATTTTTTTAAAAAACCCTCAAGGTGTATATTTACTTGTTTCCAATTAACTCCACACTATTATCTGGTTGTCATTAGCAGATGGAATAAGAGAGGCACTCTTTACATGCTAATCCAGTCTGGTTATAAGAATAATATAAGCATGATATGTTTAAAACACGAAACAATATGAGAAGAAACGAAAAGTCTCAGTGGCATCTTCCTCAATCTTCTTCCAAGCAGTTACCTCTTCTGCTCTACCTTCTTCTTCGGCAACAGAGTCCCCAGCAAGAGAGCCAACAGGAGTTAGCTGCTGGAACCAAGTATGTAAAGCACAGAGGTTCAGTACAAAGAGTGCAGATGCTATAATAAACTAAATCCAGTTACTGGATCCAGTCAACCATCAAAACTGCAGTGTGGAAGCACATATTAAGAATGAGATCTGAGATCCTCTTGAACAGGAAAGAAGATCATCAGCATGGTTTTCTATGATAAATTCATAAGGAGGATGCAACAGGCCTGCGCAACCCAAAAATTTCAGCCTGGCAGACCCGGGCATATGCCCGGGTTAAACCCCTTAGCAACTGAATTAAGGTCAACCACTGAGCTAAAGCTTAAAATGGTGAAAATTTTCAACAAGTTGTTAAGGATGCCCGTAGTTTTTTTTTTTTCCTCAGAGTATTATGGATTAACTACTTGAGAAAGTTATTCACTTGATCTGAGTTCAGCAACTTGTGAATTTCAGGTTAGCTATTGCATATACAACTGTGCTTATGTGCTTCTATTAACACTAGTCTTCTTGAAAATTAAGTCCCTCGTAAAATCATTGGCTTTTAATTGAAGGACTCATTCCGCACAAAGCATAAGCAAATACTCAACTCAATATGGCCTTTCCCTACTATTTAGGGTTGGCTATGTAAATCCTGTGTTGTCATTCGGCTCTAACTCCATTACCTTAATCAACTACAGACTATCATATTTTCCTTGCTACCTCAAACTATGTTAGTTTGGTCTTCCCCTTGCCCCAGCATTACCGTCAATGTAGACTACTTCACTCTTATTCAACTTCAGAGGTACAAATCCTATTGAGTTTGGTTTTGAATACCTTTTATAAGTTAGGCCCTAATTTTTTAATCTTATTCATACAGCTACCAGAAAGACATTATGTAGCAACTACGAAGTATTGCATTTTGAAGATAAATACTTCAGAAATATATATATATATATATATATATATATATATATATATATATGAAATTGTAACTTGCATAGCCATTATGGTAAAGGTGGAACAAGAATTCAATACTCACCACGGCGAGAAGTAGCAGCATCATCCTGTTGGAGTCGAATTGGTCGATACCTTGAACGGAAGGGCCATAAAGAGGTCAATTGGCTCCACCTCAAGCGCCACCTGTTCCTACTCCCTCCACCACGAGAATCCTCAGATTCACCATCTCGATTGCCATTGATAAAAAGTGGAGCTTGCAGTGGCAGCTGATTCCCACAATACGGACATAAATGTCCCATCCTCAAAAATGGCTGTCTCATCCTCGAAAGTGGCGGAGGAAAAAATGGCGGAGGGGGAGAATTTTCAGATTCTTCGTCTCGAATGCCACTGTCAAATGGAACCGCCACCTCACTCCTGCAAACCGGACAAGAATTGGTAATCCTCAACCAAGGAACAATACAATAAGAGTGATATATATGGTTGCAGGGCAACTCCCTCGCCTCCCCGCCAACCACAAATCGCTCCCTACAAACTGGGCAACGCAAGTCATCGACCAAATGGTCTGGCGTAATCTCAACAGTTGGCAAAGCATCTATCACCGAATCAGGGACTGGTGGAGCACCTGGCATGCCATCCTGAATCAATTCATCCAAACGTCTCAAATCTTGAGCTAGCATTTCCATTGGGTCATTTCGATCGCCGTCCACCCCTCTCGTCATCAAATTTTCCGGTGAGAAATTCTGTCGAACAGGTAGAGGACCAACAGGTCTGAGCATAATTGATCCCAAACCATCCCTATCGTCAAAGCCACGAATTCGCCGCCGCAGCCTGTGCCGGTCCCAAATTCCAGTTCCTCTATCCCCATATTCTACTCCATCGAAGCCACGATTTCGCCACAAAGGGGGAGTAGCTAGAAAATCAATATCTGGGTCCCGGAAATCTCTCTCACCAAAACCATAAAATGGTTGATTTCTTCCATAAAAGCCATGACCAGGCCGTCTGGTAGCAGGATTAAACGCAAGAGACAGTGCTTCCAGTAATCGGTCTTCTGGGGAGGGATTGAATTCGTTGAAATCAACAACAATCCAAGGCCTAGCTATGTCAATCTGGTACAGGTTCTGGTTGAAGCAGCGAGGGCAGAAGATCTCCGATGGGTTTTCAGCGGCAATTCTGACCGTACGATGGCACGGAAAGCACCAGTAGAGATGGTAGACTCTGTTCCGATTGGTCCTCTCAATAGGAGGGCTAAAAAACATAATTGCAGCTTGTGCGCTTCAAAGCTCAATTGGGTTTCAATAGTTCTTTTCTGGGTATGTGTTTGTTGTGTGTGTATATATAAATATATGTACGTATCTAGATGTAGACATACAAGTTTGGGAGGATAGAACAAGGAATAGCTTTTGGGAGTTGCAGAAAGCAATTCTCTTTCTCTCTCTAGAGTTCACTTCTTCGCCTTGCCCTCCATCTCCAGTCATCTCTGCTTGTTTCTTCCTTGCAAAGAAATGGATGAGTGATGTATGGTACAATGGCTTTTACAGTTTACTGAAAATTTAAAATGGGAGGGTTTATAAAAGCCACTTTTTTATTTTTATTTATATTTATTTATTATTATGTGACAAGAATGCCCTTAGCTTGTGTTCGTATATATAAAGGAAGAGTGCTTTGCTGGGTTATGCCCATTGCTCCCAATATGTTTGACAAGGTCCTGCTTTTTGCTTTTAACTATTGGACAAGGATCACTTTCAGTCTCACAGTATTTCATTTTGGATTAATGAACAGTGTTAATTATGTTCGGTAAAAAAATATATTTTTGAAATACAAAATTTTGGTGTGTGTGTATATATATACACACTGTTGAAGAATATCTTTTTTGTTTCCTCCCTTATTTCTTCTTCCCCTTCCCTCCCTCATTTAAAGCGTCATTTGAAATAGAAATAAAATCCCGTCTTAGCCTTCTTCTGGCCAAGTTCTGTCCACTCATTCCCAAATGGAGAAAATGGGGCACGGTGTGATTTTTGGCCTTAACTATCACGGTATGAGATATATATATATATATATATATATATATATATATTGAACACAAATATTCAATAAATTACAAAAGTATACAATTATAAATGATAAAGTTGAAAGTTTGAGGGATTTGGAATTAATACAAAAAAAAAAAAAAAAAAAAAAAGAGGCAAGCATTTATCAAAAAGTATTAATTAATGGTATTACTGAAAATTGCCCCCATTTGTATTTTCTCTTTATGTTCCTCATTTGAAATATAGTTTTCCAGATGCCTTATTATTTGAGGATTGTTTTTGCTGATGTTTGAAGAGTTGTGAAAAAAAGGCCATTTTGTGGTGTAGTCGTTTATAAGTGAATAAATGGACAATCTTAATTCTCGTCTAGTCGTCTCACAGGAGTTTAAAGTTATAAAATTCAAATCTCGTCTTTGCAATCTTTTGATAGTTTAGAAGTTAATTGTTTTATTATTTGATAGTATTTGCAGATTTTCAATAGCTGAAGAGGGTTTTATGCAATTTATGATAAAAGTTTGTATAATCTGCAAGCTAACTGACTGTGTAGGGATTACATAGAGTAGTAGAGAGGATGGCACATGAGTTTACAGTTTTAGAAAACAGATAATTTTCGTGCCTCATCAAGAAAATGCAATCTGAACTGCATTTCGGCCTGGGGAAGATGCAATCCCAATTTTTACCATCACTGTATTTCACTGTCATTAGTATAGGGCAACGGGGAGGGTTTGGGACGGAGTTGGCTAAACCCGACTCTGTCTCATTGGGAAATCATCCATACCAAATATGCCCCTACTCCAGGTTACTGCCTTCGCGGAGCGGATGGAGTACCGACTCCGTCCCGCTTTTTCCGTTTAATGGAGCGGATGGAGTACCGACTCCGTCCTGCTTTCTTGGTAGATAAATGGAGGTTAATGGCATATTAATAAATCAGAACTAAAATTTGTAATAGAAAATAAAAATCAATACTATGAGATGCAAAAATATAAAACAATAAACACCTCTAATATGAAAATAAAGAAAATTAAAATTATATATATCTAATCGGGTTCGGGGCAGTGCGGAAGAAATTCCCACCCTATGTATGCCCACGCAATAAAATTCAGTATCCAATGGAATTTGTCCCACCCACTCGAAAAACAATTAACAAGAAGTTGATATAGGGTACATTTTCAAACTAAATAGATTAGATACTCTAGTGCTCTATACAATATCGAAGAGGACTCAAAGTGCAAGAATATTTTGATAATAGGATCAAAATGTCTATAAAAACAATGTCTAGCAAGATCACGTTATGCAATGTGAATGTAAAGAAATCAGGCAGTGGGAGAAAAGAAAAAGAAAAAAAAGGAAGAAAAAAGCACAATCACTTGCTCGACTTTCCGGGAAAAAAACTAAAAAGAACAATTACTAGCCTCCACTTTTTTCTCTATTTTTCTTCACCTCATCTTCTGCTTGTTGATCTCATCATCACTTCCACCCTCACCGCGAAGCGGAATAAGGCTTCCAAAACAAATATGAACTTTCCTGTGGCATCCAAACCAAATATCACCTGCTTCCCTTGCAAGAGTCTCAATTTTTCTGATTACTTTCATTTCTGAATCATACTGAAGAAGCCTTGCACCATTCTCTTCCAGTAGTACATTCTCACCGCTCTTTGAATAAGCCAAAGGCCTCATAAATTCGAAATATGGTCGTGTACCAGAAATTAATCTTGTCCAAGATTCCTTAACTCCATACTCCATCATCACCCATATTTCAACACCAGATTTCATAAAACAGTCACTATAATAATCGTAGCAAATTAAACGAAGGCATCCTCCTTGAACCTGGCACCAACCAATATTCGTCAACTTCAAGATCAAAAGCAGCGATCGAGGTGGCCCTATCTGACTCCTGTATGTTACACACAGTCCAGTGTAAAGCCCCACGAGCCAGCACAGCATTCTCTCCCCTAACATACAGGGAATAAGGGAAATCTTGAATTCTTCGCCACAAATTTGATTTCAAACTATGAACCTTAACTTCGGAACCAACTAGACCAAAACGTTAGACAAAATAATTTAGAAACCTCACCACCTTGTAGTCATCGCTGACAGAATCAGACCCAATCCCGTAAAAGATAAAAAGTCTAATGCAGCCATGGCCTAATGGGGACTCAATCGGTGTGACTGGTAACTTGTGGTGTTTTGGGGTCGAATGATTCCATAGGGCAATGTCTTTCTTTGAGTTACACAAACAGAGCAAGCCATCACAAGAACCAACAACTACAGTACCTTTGTCATCCTTCAACGGGTGGTCAAGCTCAACGACATCATCATCCGGAGAGTCAAAGTTCACATGGAGTAGAACCTGCGACATCCAAAAATGATGCTGCGATTGGTGTTGGTTTCGAAGGATTGATTTAAATGCAATTTGATGAAATATGTGCTGTCGATCAAAGCACACCATGATTTCGATATGCATCTGAACCGCATAAGTGTTTTCACCGGTAATCTTGATAGTATGTCCTCGATAACCTCCACAGGAAGTTCTGGCATTTTTGGCTTCTCTGCAATTCGAATCATATACAATTTCCTCATAATACACCCCCAAAAAACAATATTAGGATGCAATGATCAAGTCGTAATTGAAAGAAATCATCAAGTCCAAAGAGATTGCATTACCTCCGGCCATGAAATCAGATTGATTAATGCCTGTAAAACAAAGTAAGAAATCCTAATAACGTTCACGCCTATACAAGTCTTGATGCGTGTACTTCATAGAGACAACACAGACTGTAGTTGTTAGACATAGGACCTCTGTAGGATTCTGTAAAAAATAAAATCGAGAAACAAGTAATCCATCGTACAAGCCCTCTTTTCTATTTTGATTTAAAATGGAAGTTATTATTAAACCACCGTAACTTCCAAAAATCACATAGTTATAACTTCCCGGCTATGAAGCACGGACACGAGACATGGGTACGATGCGACACGGATACGGCAATACGGCAAATTTCAAAAAAATAGGATACGGACACGGCATGGATACGGTAATAAAATAATAATATTTTATTATATTTATAAAAAATATTTAGTTTTACTTAATTTTTTTATATATATTAATAAATACAACTCATTTAAATTAGGCCAATCATCTTTTTTTTTCAAAAACATAAAGTAAACAGCACATATTCTATTAAAAAAAAAAAAAAAAAAAAAACAAATGTAGAGAGAGTATTATTTATAAAATAAAAATAAAATAATATATATATATATATATATATATATATATATATATATATATATATATATATAAAAGAAATAAAACTCTTACCTAACCCCACTCTTTCTCTCCCCAATCACATTTTTCAATAACCCACTCACCCACACGTCTCTACTCCTACCTTATCTTCATATCTCAGATCTATCACTTTGTTTAACCCACTCACCCACGTCTCTACTGTACCTTACCTCTATCTTTACAATTTCAGATCTCAGATTTATAAACACAAAAGCAATTAATATTACACCATCGTCTTCCCCCACGGTTTCCAATCATTCTCTTTTGTCTTTCTATCTTTACAATTTTTACATCTATAGATACATCCTGGTTTGGCTCCCTTCTCAACTTTTTCCTCTTTGGCTCTCTTCATCATCTTCCTTCATTACTTCAGGCAAAAGAGGCCGGTGAAATAGCTCAGTCCCGAGATAAGAAGGCTGTGTCTGTTCAGATCAGTGCGTGTCCGATCAGTGTTCGGCCGTGTCCGTTCGGTGTCCGACTGCATCAAATATATTAAAAAATGCAGGACACGGTTAGAGCGTGTCAGACACGTGTCCAAGCCTGGGATACGCGTGTCCGTGTCGGACATGTGTCTGACACCGGTACTTCGACCCTTAGAACCGTGTCGATGCTTCATAGCTTCCCGGTAACGTTGTGTCAGTGTAAGTAGTTAGAATATAGTGGTTAGAATATAGTGTGAGAATATAGACCACACCACGTTTAATGAATAAACGTGTCCAACATTCTCCCACTTGGTCAATATTAACACATTCATTACCCTTATGGGTTTGAAAACTAAAATTTTATCTATAGAATTTCAGTGTATAAAATCATGGTGGAAATTACACTCTACAAATGAGTACTACCTTCCATGTATCATTATATCATTGTCTTTCTTTAGATAAACATCTTTATGTGGTAGTACTTTATAAATAGTTATTTCAAAAACTATTCAAGGAAGTCAACTTTATTGTCCCAATGGACTATCTGTATAAATAAGCTCCCATAAGCCTATTCTAAGGTCCTACTTTATTATCCAAAAGGATAATTTTTCATTTATAAACTTCATGTATACTTCTTTAAAAATGACAAATAAAAAACTAAGAATCATCAGAACATAAATGCAATTGCAAACTTTAAAGCGTCTCAGTAAATCAAACAGAAGACATATCAATAAGTCCCATATGTCCTACATATTCCTCATACAATTTGGGTGGCAAACCCTATGTCATAGGCTCTGCAACCATTGATCTTGTTCCTATGTAATCTACTAACACTTGATGATTCTGAACTTTTTCTTTAACAACAAGGAATTTTATGTCAATCCACCTATTTGAACTTCCACTTGCATTATTGTTACAGAAACGAACCGCAGCGGAATTATCACAATAGATTCTCAATGACCTAGAGATGGAATCCACAACTTTAAGATCTGTGATAAAATTCCGTAACCATAAGGCATGTCCTATAGCCTCATGACATGCTACGTACTCCGCCTCCATAGTAGAAGAAGTGATTGATTTCTGTTTTAAGCTTTTCCACGAGATAGCTCATCCTACAAAGAGGAATACATATCCTAATGTTGACTTTCTAGAATCAATGCATCCTCCAAAATCAGAATCAGAATATCCAACCACTTCCAAAAGATTTGATCTTTTGTATGTTAGCATGTAATCCTTTGTCCCTTGTAGATATCGCATCATTTTCTTTGCAGCTCGCCAATGATCCATTCCTGGATTACTTTGATATCTGCCTAACATTCCTATTGCAAATGCAATGTCTGGTCTAGTGCATACTTGCACATACATTAGACATCCTACTGCAGATGCATAAGGAATGACTTCCATCTTTTCTCTTTCCAAATTATTTCTTGGGCACTGATTTAAACTGAATTTGTCACCCTTGACAACAGGAGCAACACTTGAAGCACAACCCAACATTCGAAATCTCTCTAAAACTTTATTGATATAGGCCTTTTGGGATAATCCAATCAATCCTTGTGATTTATCCCTATAAATTTCTATGCCAATGACATAGGATGCTTCACCCATATCTTTCATATCAAAATTTCTATAGAGAAACTCTTTAACTTCATGTAGCAACCCTAAGTCACTACTGACAAGCAAAATATCATCCACATATAGGATCAAAAGAATGAACTTACTCACACTAACCTTAAGGTATATACATTGATCAACGATGTTCTCTTTAAACCCAAAAGAAGAGATAACATTATGAAATTTGTAATACCACTGACGTGAGGCTTGTTTCAACCCATATGTAGATTTCTTGAGTTTGCAAACCAATTTGTTTTCTTTATCTGAATGAAAACCTTTAGATTGTTTCATGTATACCTCCTCATTCAAGTCCCCATTAAGAAATGCCGTTTTCACATCCATTTGATGTAACTCTAAATCAAAATGAGCTACCAATGCTATGATAATACGAAGGGAATCCTTTGTAGAAACGGGAGAAAATGTATCATGGTAATCAATGCCTTCCCTTTGGGTATACCCTTTGGCTACAAGTCTGGCCTTATATCGTTTAATCTTGCCTTTTGGGTCTCTTTTAGTCTTATAAACCCATTTATAGCCAACTGCGTTAGCCCCTTCTGGCAATTGAACCAAATCCCAAACTTGATTTTTAGCCATAGAGTCTAGTTCCTCTAACATGGCATCATACCATAACCTTAAATTTTCTCCACTCATGGCTTGTGAAAACGTAATTGGGTTTTTATCAATTCTAATATCATGGTCAATTTCTTGAAGATATACAACATAATCAGAGGGGATTGCAGGTTTTTTTACTCTTGAGGACCTTCTTAACTCTATCTGTTCATTTAGAACAGGTTCATTGACAATAGGATTCTCGTGGGTAGGAACTTCTTAATTTACCTGTTCTTCCATAATAACATCTTGAGAAATGTGTTGAAGTACAGGTAAATGTTCTTTAGTCACAGATCTAACAACCAAATCTTGTGTTTCCTCAAAAATTAAATTTCGAGGTTGTTTACTCCCACTAATGTCAACATCCTCAAGAAACCTAGTATTTCTCGCCTTAACAATAATGGGTTTATGGGAAGGACAATAAAACTTGAACCCCTTGGACTTTTCTACATAGGCAATAAAAAACCCACTTATTGTCTTTAAGTCCAACTTTTTCTCTATAGGATTGTACACCCTGACCTCAACTGGACAACCCCATATGTGTAATTGTCCTAAACTTGGTTTCCAACAATTCCATAACTCAAATGGTGTTTTTGGAACCAATTTGGTTGGAACCCTGTTTAAGATATACACAGCGGTTTTTAAGGCCTCACTCTATAGAGATAAAGGGAGAGAATAATTACTAATCATACTTCTTACCATGTCCATTAGCGTTCGATTCCTTCTTTCTGCCACACCATTTTGTTCTGGTGTGCCTGGCATCGAATATTGCATTATAATGCCATTCTCCATAAGGAATTTTGCAAATGGACCTGGTCTTTGTCTTTGTTTTGTATATCTACCATAATATTCTCCTCCTCTATCTGATCGCACCATCTTGATTTATTTTTTCCTTTATTTCTCTACCTCCACCTTATATGATTTAAAAGCATCAAGTGCTTCACTTTTATCATTTAGAAGGTAAATATACATAAAACGTGTGCAATCGTCAATCAAGGAAACATGAAATTTGAAAAGGTCCACATATATCAGTATGTATGATCTCTAAAACTTGAGAACTCCTTCTGGAATCCTTATTGGTTTCGTTAGTCTGCTTACCCTTTATGCAGTCCACACAAATACCAAAATCAGAAAAATCAAGAGTATCAAGTACTCCATCATTAATTAATCTTTTAATTCTTTGTAAGGAGATATGCCTTAATCTCCTGTGCCATAATGAAGAAGATTTCTCTGTTTTAGCCTTACGCTTGATGCCAATATTTCCATGCAAGGTTAAGTGGTTATGATCAATATCAGGGTTTAAATCTAATTTATATAAACCATCAACCAAAATACCATTACCAATAACAATAAAATCTTTTACAATACTTAAAGAATTAAAGAAACTAAAACTATAACCAAATCTAACAAGTTTCGAAATAGAAATCAAATTTTTAGAAAAAGTTGGAATATAAAAAGTTCTTTCAAGTTTTAATGTAGAGCTAGATGGTAAGGTGAGTCTGTAGGTTCCAACCGCCTCTACATGTGAACTCATCTTATTTCCCGAATAGATGAAACGTTCACTTTTCGTCGGTCTCCTTAGGTTGATTGAACCCTGCATGATATTGACAATGTAAATTGTAGAACCAGAATCAATTCACCAAGCATCATTAAATGTATTAACTACATTTGATTCATAACACACAAAGGAAAAAAGATTACCCTTTTTAAGCAGCCAAGCCTTATACTTAAGGCATTCCTTTTTCATGTGCCCTTTCTTTTTGCAGAAGAAGCACTTGATGGTACCCTTATCATCAACTTTGCTAGTTGATGCATTCCCCTTCTTCTTAAATTGCATACCCTTTTTGATATGTCCCTTTCTATGAGTCACTAGGTGAGTACTTTCTAGCTTCTCCTGATTCAATCTCCCCTCCTCTTGAACACACATGGTAAGCAATTCCTTAACTGACCATTTTTCCTTATGCGTGTTATAAGAAATCTTGAATGACCCATATTCAGCAGGCAAGGAGTTGAGTATAAATTGGAAAAGGAATGTCTCTGAAAAAGTGAACTCCAATGAGTTCATTTGGGCAGCTATATCCCTCATTTCCATAATATGTTCATGGACCCCTTTATTACCCATATGCTTCATTGATGATAATTTGGTTATTAGGGTGCTAGCCAATACTTTATCGGAACTTATAAATTATTGCTCAATTGCTGCCATGTATTCTTTTGCTTTAGTACATTCCGGAATTGAACTCATTATGTTTTTACCAACATGACTTTTAATGAGACACATACTTAAGTGATTTGATCGCTCCCACCTCTCATAAGAAGCCTTTTTCACTTGGCATACTTGATTCCGTGGGAATGGGTGGTTCATCCACACGAAGTGCCAAATCAATGTCCATGCACCCCAATGTTAGAAGGATTTTCTCCTTCCAATGAATAATTATCACTAGTTAAACATGGGATATGAGATGAACCAATATTGACAGAATTAGATGAAATTACTGCAAAAAGAAAACATGCCAAACATTACTCTACTATACAATAAACTTTATTAAAATTCTTAACCCACGTTAAAAAATTTCATATCAAAACAATGTGTCATAATAACCTTCCTGTGGGTAAAGGTTTTAATACAATAATGTTTTTTTAAAAAATAAAACATATAACCATAATGGAATAAAATATTCTTTAATGATACTAAATTGATAATGATACAGTCCTGTGGGCATTTGTATTCATTGTCAGTTTAATTCCAAAATCATTTTTTTCCACATTCATTCATAAACAATGATTATTTCCCTATAGGGCAAAATAAAACACTTTTTATGAATGAATTATAACATTTTAAAGCATAATCTTTATGTGATATAAATATCATATATTAAAACTAACTTATATATATATATATATATATATATATATATATATATATATATATATATATATCAAAAAACCAACAACCAAAGATGTTGTGGCTACTCTTTGGTTAAAAATACATATTAAAATAATAGTAATACTCATACTTTAATAAATTGCATGTATGAGAATATACTGGACGTGATTTTTTTTTTTTTTTTAATATGCAGTAACTGTATAACTTTGGAGTATTCTTTATTTGTATAGAAATTTTCAAAATTATACAACTCCAGTGTATTCTGCAAAAATAAAAATTCATTATAAAACAACTTTTATGGTCTTTGAAATCGCTCGGGTCTGAATCACTTTTACCATAAAAAAGAAAACGTTGTACCTACTGTATGAATTTATGATGAGATTCTCCCATATTTAAAGCAGTCATTAAACCGCTCGGGTCTGAACACTTTATTCATCGCAATCTGTATGGATGTAGTATTCTACCATTTTATTTCGGCCAACGTAACCAAATGATAAAACAGTACCGGAAAAATATTACAGACAGAAACACACTCACAAAAAATAATACAGAACAAATAGAACACAAAGGAAATATTACAGGCCAAAAAGACAACAGCGACATAGCCGCTAAACAAATATTACATGCCAGAAAAATGAACGACAACATAGCCAAAAGGTATCGCTCTGATACCAAATGAAAGAAACCATCAAGTCCAAAGAGATCGCATTACCTCCAGCCATGAAATCAGATTGATTAATGCCTGCAAAACAAAGTGAGAAATCCTAATAACGTTCACGCTTATACAAGTCTTGATGCGTGTACTTGATGGAGACAACACAGACTGTACTTGTTAGACATGGGACCTCTGTAGGATTCTGTAAAAAATAAAATCGAGAAACAAGTAATCCATCATACAAACCCTCTTTTCTATTTTGATTCAAAATGAAAGTTATTATTAAACCACCGTAACTTCCCAAAAACCACGTAGTTATAACTTTCGGTAATGTTGTGTCAGTGTAAGTGGTTAGAATATAGTGTGAGAATATATGCCACACCACGTTTAATGAATAAATGTGTCCAACAATAACTTGTAGATTCATTGGAAAGCGCAAGTGCACATATACCAAAACCAATCAGAATTACAGAATGCATCACATCTTATAGAAATATGTAAAAAAAAAAAAAAAAAAAAAATCCAAAAGGCAGTCATTAGCATAATTGCATTGCAACATACACCGCCATAAAATCAACAAAATATAGGACAAGAATAAAAATACAAGTCTCACTACTTCTTTGTCATAAGTTATAAAAGATAAGTAGACTAGAAAATATAAACTTCTACTTCTAAAGTTCTCTTGGACAATAAAAAGTAAGAATGAAAAAGGTATTATGATATGTTTGTAATATTGACTCTACCTTTTTTTGGGATTCATTACCAAAATTTAGGATTCAATCAGATTTGGATAGGCAAGCATATCTGATAACCAAGCCTAAACTCAACTTCAAACTTTAAAATCACAGTCAATACCCAACAAGCCCATTATATGGTTTCAGTACATCAAATTGGGAGGCTAGGTATGCATGACCTAGTGCATCAAATTGTGAGGCTAGGTGTCTTGGATTCAGGCATTGATCTTGTCCACAAAATGCATTATCAATGAATTTGTAAACGCACATATTTTTGTGTATGTGTATATCCATCTAATGAAAGTATGGTCTCGATATAAGCAACCAAATCTCACGATAAAGTGTCCATAAGATACAAAATCCATCCACCGGGATAGTACTTCTTTGAGTAGACTACCTCTTGCATAGGATTCAAAATCAGTCAATTGGAAAACTCATTAAAGATTAAAACAATGAAGACAGTAATAACTTAAATAAAAAAACGTCTAAAATGCTTGTGGATATGTACTTCTTTGTATGAATAAAAATAAAATGTTTTGAAATGATTCATGTTCAACGGGTATGTGCCATGGGTGTTGTGTTGACACATTTTTTTTTTCCGGAAGATAAGGGTGATTTTATATATGCAAAAAAGCATAAAACCCCCCTCAAGTATTAGGAATCAGCATAAAACCCCCCTAAACTACAAAATAGAGCAAGTCAGTCCCTCAACTATCAAAATTGATCAGTTTTACCCCCTGGCTGTCCTTTCTGGCTCATTTTCGGTACCGGCATTGTACATTTACAAAAATGCCCATTATAATTAACATTTAAAAAAAAGCAAATGAAATATAATTTGTGAAATACCATCAATACCCTCATAGTCATATACGGCTTATATTGGTAAAATTCCTAAGTGAAGATAGTGACTGAGTGGTTTTGAGTTCTTAGAAAAGAGAAGAGGAAAGGTCGCGATGCTAGGGTTTGTGAGTGTGACTGCGATTTAGGGGATCTGAAGTACGATTTCTAGGATTTTGTTAGGTGAATTATTAGACAGTGTTGAGGAAGAAGAAATTGTGTTTGTGATAATCAATCGAGGAAGAAGGATATTGTTAGTACACCCTGAACTACAGAATCGTAAGTGTTCTTACTATACCAAAAGGTTGATTTTTCTTTAAAATGTGTCACTTTATTTATTATTTTGATGTTATCTTGATTATTTTTGTTTGGTACGATTATTGAATAAAATGTTCCAATAAGTTTCTAACAGAATCGGAAGTGTTCTTACTATACCAAAAGGTTGATTTTTCTTTTAAAATCGTCACTTTATTTATTATTTTGATGTTATCTTGATTATTTTTGTTTGGTACGAAGTTTCTAGGGTTTTTGACTTTTGTGTATAAATAGTTTGTACTATGTGACCATTGAGATTTTGGAATGAAAGTGCGTTTTTTGTCTTTTGATTTTTGGTAGGATTTGTGAATCATTTGAAGCTTTTGTGAGTTATTTGTTTTTTACTTTTTAGAACTCTGCGAGCACAATATTTGAGATACTGGCATGCATGTGCAATTTTTTTTTTTTTTTTTTTTTTTTTTTTTTGTGTATTTAAATAGTACCCTTAGATCTATTAAACTATATTAGACCCCACTATCTGTTGTGTTGTGCTTTTGGGGTTTGTTTCTTGCTTTTGGTCAATGTATTGGAGTTATTGCCATTGTCCTGTGCATAGATATAAAGACATCTTTTACTATTGTTAGGTCATTGTCTTGTGGTTTTTGTTGTCCCCACTATGTTCCCTTTCAATTATTAGTTGCCTTGTATTTTGTCAATTTTTTTTTTTTTTTTTTTTTTTTTTTGTATATATATTTTTTACAGATAATGCGCAGGTTTGTTACTCTAGAAGTTCATTCTGGAGGATTTTTTCAGTGCACACCCCTTAAAAGTTATACAAGGGGCACTGTGACTTTGATTCATAATGTAGACCTTGATTTCTTTAGTTTATTTGATCTCAATGAGGTGGTTAAGGATCTTGGGTATAATGAAAGGAGTCAAATATATTATAAGAATCCAATGGTGGCTAGTGATGAAGGGATTAAACAAACAGTAAAAGATGAAGATATATTGGGCTGTATTAATTGTCATCAAAGATTTAGTTTAGTTAAAATATTTATTATTTCTCCCACTACTTCAATTGTTGATGATGTGGAGGAGGAAGCAATCAATGAAGAGTGGGAAAATGAAATCCTAGAATAGGCTACTAAAGCAGCAAATGGTAATGTTGACCTACCAGTGAACAATGGTGAGGTGGAATAATTAGCTGTTGAGGGATTCCATGGTGTGACAGATGTGGAAAATGAAATGGGACATCAATCTGTTGACATAGAAGATAACATTGACCATGGGAATGTGGCTAAGATGGAAGATAAGGTGGTGGAGCTTGAACATGTTGACATGGAGCATGATAATGCTACTGACATGGAAGATGACATGGACCATGGGTATGTGGCTGAGATGGAAGATGAGGTGGAGCTTGAACATGTTGACATGGAGCATGATAATGCTACTGACATGGAAGATGACACAAGATATCAATCTGCTGAGGTGGAGCCTACTTTTGCTGATACTGAACATGTTAATCCTGAAGTGGACCTTGATCTACATGATAGGGAATTCAATTTTTCTGACATTGAGTCAACATATGCTCCAAGTGATGAGTTTCAAAGCTTAAAGGGTTCATCTAAAGATGATGATGAGAATGATGTTGGTAACCTACATAATCCAAAGGTTAATGGTTTTGAAGTGGGAAAGAAATATGAATCTGCAGCACAGTT